CATGGATGGATGGATGGATAGATCATGGATGGATGATGGATGGATGATGGATGGATGGATGGATGGATGATGGATGGATGGATGGATGTTTGATGGATGGATAAATCATGGATGATGGATGGATGGATGGATGTTTGATGGATGGATAGATCATGGATGGATGGATGGATGTTTGATGGATGGATAAATCATGGATGGATGGATGGGTGATGGATGGATGGATGGATGATGGATGGATGGATGGATGGATGATGGATGGATGTATGGATGGATGGATGGATGATGGATGGATGGATGGATGTTTGATGGATGGATAAATCATGGATGGATGGATGGATGGATGGATGGATGGATAGATCATGGATGGATGGATGGATGGATGGATGGATAGATCATGGATGGATGATGGATGGATGATGGATGGATGTATGGATGGATGGATGGATGATGGATGGATGGATGTTTGATGGATGGATAAATCATGGATGATGGATGGATGGATGGATGGATGGATGTTTGATGGATGGATAAATCATGGATGATGGATGGATGGATGGATGGATGTTTGATGGATGGATAAATCATGGATGATGGATGGATGGATGGATGGATGTTTGATGGATGGATAGATCATGGATGGATGGATGGATGTTTGATGGATGGATGGATGTTTGATGGATGGATAAATCATGGATGGATGGATGGGTGATGGATGGATGGATTGATGTTTCTGACAGCCTCCTTTAGCTCTGTAGGATCTCTGTCTGTCTCAGAACCTCCCTGCTATCATTTCAGTTTTCCACATCCATCATAGATTTTAATGCATAAACGCAGTTTGAACATCTGTTAGAATCATAAACTCAGTGAATCAATTCTTCAATCTGTGCCTTCATCAATATCTGCCCAGCATTTGTTCTTCCTGAATGTTTTTTGTCTTAATCTGTTCTCTCCCTCTGTACGCCTAACCACTGAAGGTCAATAGAGGAGTTTAGAATAAACACGCTGGGACACACCTCCCTCAGCAGGGAGCCCTCCCCTCGTTCAGCCAGTCCCGGCTCCTCTGAGGCCGATCCGGACTGCGATCCGTTCTGACGGAACATGGTCAGCTTGACGTCGTCGTCCTGGTTAGAAGGGACGGCCCCCTCAGAGTCAGAGCTGAGGAACATCTGGTCCTTCTGCACAGCACAGACACCTATGAGACTCTGTAAGGCTAGCCAGCTACAGATGTTTCCAGAGGTTCCTACCTGCTGCTGGCGCTTCCTCAGGCTGGTGGCCAGCCTCTTGGGACAAACCTCCTGGCTCTCGGCTTGCCTGAAGTACTCGTACAGGCGGTTGGTCCACTGACCCATGGAGCGCACATGAAGCCACATGGTGTCTGCAGGTCAGAGGTCAAAGAGCTGATGTCACCTCCTGATGAGAACGCTCATGTTGCTATGACAGCACTTGTTTTATCTGGTGTCCAATCTCTGCTCCTAAAATGGATCCTAATGTGACCTGCTGACTGTCTGTTTAAAGCTGAATATCATATAAAGGTTTAGAGCCGCAGAGCGTAACAAGCCCGCCGATCCGACCCAAAGATCCGGTTCACACCTGTCTGCTCGGGGGCGCTGCTGATGGTGAACGGGTGCCACTCATACTTGGCTATCACCGGGATGTTAATGTAGATGTAATCTCCAGGTTTAAACTGGAAGAACTGGGGGCGTCGGATCACCAGGTGAGTCACCTGTTTCATTCAGGAAGAGAGAGAAGAATTTATGTCTGAAAAACCAAATGAATGCAGTTATTTTACACACATTTCCCACGATGACTTTATTAGTCTCTAAGGCTGTTGAGGAGGAATTTTGTCTCACTCTTGTTTCCATCACTGAGGTTTGCTTAGTTTGAATCTCTGCTCTGGTCCAATCAGAGGGTTTCAGTCAGACGGAGCTCATTAATTCATCTGGGAACACTTTAGAACTCATTCATAAGGGTTTATTATGCATCCAAAAAACATCTGTTTGCAAATTCGTATTGTTACGAGGTGCTAACCACACGGGACAGTAACTAGTTACATTTACTTGAATAACTTATTGACAAAAATGCATTTTTAGAAGTAGTTTTACTGCGCCATACTATTTACTTTTATTTAAGTAATTTTTTTACTTAACATTTTTTGGCCTTATTTAGCTGACAAAGCATATTCTAAGCTAAAACACAGTAGAAACAGACAGTTAAAGCTAAAATCCGTATTTCATTTTTTGTTTGTTTTAATGCTACTTTTATTTGCTAAAACATTTATGACTTGGAGGCCAAGGTAGCATAACATGGAGTGGACTTTGTTCCATTACAGGCAAAGAACACGTTCTGCAAAAGGAAATTTGTAAAGAAAAATGCAATCCAGAAATTAAACTTTAAAAAACTTCTTAATCAAAAAAGTTTTTTTTATTTTATTTTTTCAAACTTGATCTTTTTCAAATGTTTCCTTCTCAGATAGAGTTTTAGTAATTTTATTGTTTTCAGATCCAGTTTAAAAATCCCATTCTCTTTACTTCTGGGGGCGGGCTTTCCTCTGCTGTGAGGAATGAAGACGTATTTCTAGCAGCAAAGTTTCATTGAATAGGGAAGGTAGTGATTGAAAACAATGAAATTTGTAAATTTTCATCTGAAAAACAAATAAAAAGAAATCCTGTAAAGAAAAGAAAATGTAAAAAAAAATGTAAAACTTCCGTTTATAGTACATGTTCTTTACCTGCAACAATAACTGAAGTGAATTCCCACCATAATTTACTGTAAATATCATATATTTTAATTGGAGGCAGTTCACTCTGTTCTATCATTCATATACTGTAACTGTATATTATGGTCTATCTGATCACAGTTAAATATTTACTCGAGGAGCCTCTTTACCAGCTGGTCAGTTGTATGTATATAAACACATGAAAGACTGTTTAAAGATGGATTAATAATATTTATTAGCCCTCTATAATGGGAGCCTTAAAGGAATAGTACACCCAAAACATGATTAGCCTTCATTTTCTACTCACCCCCATGCTGAACAACACTCTGGAGTACTTTTTGATATCTCAAATGCATCTGGAGATCTGGGAGGCTTCTTGCTGTCTGCTGACATTCAAATAATGGAGGTCTATGGCGCCCGAGGCAGAAAGGTCCATAAAAGTCCACAAAAAACGTGTCAATATTCCTCCGTACTGCTCTTCCAATGTGTCCTGAGTGGGTAGCGTCCATAATTTACTCGAAACGAAGTCATTTAGAATGTTTTTAGAGCATAAACAGTAGTGTATAGGATTTCCTGAAAGCACGTTCACGACGCTACGGAAACCGCGGCAGACCAAACCAGATGAAAGTGCGCATTCAGCTCGGCAAAGAACTCATGCTCTTCCTCAACACTGAAGTCCTCAGACATTTTTCTTTCGTTGTTTCTTTCTTTGCACAGGTAAACAGCACATTTCTTCTTCTACGCTTGCATTATCGGCAGAGCAGACGCTGAATGCGCACTTTCATCTGGTTTGGTCTGCCGCGTTTTCCGTAGACTCGTGAACGCGCTTTCAGGAAATCCTATACACTACTGTTTATGCTCTAACAACATTCTAAATGACTTCGTTTCAAGTAAATTCTGGATGCTACCCACTCAGGACACTTGGAATACATTGGACGAGCAGTATGGAGGAATATTGACACGTTTTTTGTGGACTTTTATGGACCTTTCTGCCTCGGGCGCCATAGACCTCCATTATTTGAATGTCAGCAGACAGCAAGAAGCCTCCCAGATCTCCAGATGCATTTGAGATATCAAAAAAGTACTCCAGGGTGTTGTTCAGCATGGGGGTGAGTAGAAAATGAAGGCTAATCATGTTTTGGGTGTACTAATACTTTAATGTAAAGTTGTACCAAAGTTGACCACTGCATTTCTTCTAATGAATTTTTTGATATCTAGTTTAATGCTGAGCTGTTGACTAAATAGAAAATATTTTTTGTTGCCTAAAACCCGTTTTAACTCGATGATTTTGGGCCCGCCTGAGCAGGTGTTTTTCTCACCTTGGATGGAAGCAGGTTGACTTCTACAATGTGAAGGCCTCCCATTCGAGACACAGCGATTCCCACGATCTTCTCCAGCAGGAAAACCACACCTGGAACCACAAACCACTTCCAGAAGTTTGCACAGTGGATGATTAGGAGGATCCAGACCAAGATGTAGGACAGGTGAGTCCAATAGAACACCTGGAAGAGACATAAAGGCAACCATCAGAACAGAGTCACGAAATGGGGACAAGCTTGTTTTCTGGGTCCAAACCTCGAAGTGCCCGCTGCGCCGTACGAAAGTGCTGGAGCAGAACACCATGAGGCAGATGAGCAGCTGAAGGACGACCCCGGTCAGCGACGCCGTTCCCTTCACCCAGCCGACCCCCGGCCTGGTGGTCAGCAGGTACTCCCACAGACTGAAGCCACCGCTCGCCGTCATCCGAGCTGAGGCAGCAGAACAACAGGTCCAATCAGCTGTCAGGTCAGAGCTGTTAAACCAAAGACTTATTCTCCTCGTTTATTGTCTCATTTACACATTTAAACAAAGATTAAACCCTGATGTTGATCCTCAGATGATGGCTGAGCTCAGTTCATGAACTAAAACCTAAGCAGACGTGTTTGAGCGAACCAAAATTAACAACGTGCGCCGCCGTGTGCACCAGTGTGAAAACAAGGATGGCGTAGCCCACGATCTGATGGAGCAGGATGTTCTGGTCCAGAGGAAGAATTCTGACCACCCAGGTGGCCCTGAGCCACGTCAGACAACGGCGCAGCATCAACACCTGGACACACAGAATGAGATAAGTTAATACGGAGGAGGAGGTGGAGCTCATTAAACCCAACAACAGCAGCAGAGACAAAACCGATCCAACATCCATCTAACCCACAGCAAGCATCAGAAAAGAAGGTAGAGGCTGCCAGGTGAAGGACCTGCAGGATCATGTTCTACTGGCAGAGCTGACATCCAACATGTTTGTAAAAGAAAACTTAAATAAAAAATAAAAGAACTGATTTTCCCATTTAGCAGATGTGGGCCCAACTGCTGGTGTTCAGATAAAAATATTTTGATCTCTCTAACAGATTAATCCTGCTGTGAAATTTCTGCAGTTTTCTTCAGCAGTCCATGAGGCCGATCACAGATTCATTGATTGAGCATATAATAGTTAAAGGTACTGTGGAGGATTTTTGTGAATTTTTGAAGAGACCTGCCCTCTCCACTTTAACAAAAAAGAAAAAAATGCACATGAACAACCCTATACCCACTCCTGAGAGGGAACACCTATTAAACTTGTGTGAGAGTGTGCACGAGCCCATTTCTCCTCGTGCACACTCTGTTCAAAAGTTGCTGTTTGCATCACTCATACAGGCTTACCTTGAAGATTTGCAATTTTTCCACTATGTCAGACTCACTGCCGGTAAGTGAAAAGCAGAAACACGTAGGACGGCCTTATGTAAACATATCACCTGAATGTTTGAAAATTAGGAGAATCACTTATTTAGATGATTCTCCCGGAAAAAGAACATCCTCCACTATACCTTCAACATTTAAACCTTAACTTAAAACGTCCCTATCTCTCAAAGGAACTACTAACCTAAATCTTAACACTAGAAGTCCCAAAGTGCAGACTTTAGTCTGCACCTAGTTTGTATCAAGTATCCGCCCAAAGGTGTTAACGGCTCTCCTCTGGTGCTCCATTTTCAAATCAAATGCAAATGTAGGAATGTGGTTTGGTGACTTCAGCTGGTGTGCTGGGGTTTATTTGTTAAAGTTGCCTCTCTTTGTGTTTTAAATGAGCTTTTTCAAGGAGTTGAGTAATTTACAGAATTTCTGTGGGGATAAATAGAGCAGGCACAGCACACAGACTCAGAATTCACCCGGAATTCACCATGGCACAACCAAGGCGACCAAGAAGGATGAACGCTCAAGAGGCTTTAGCCATGCTTCAGAGCATGCCAGACTACGAATCTGATGGTGGATCTGTTGGAGACTTAGCATTTCAGAATGAAAACGGCGCAACCGATTCTTCAAGTGAAGAGGATGATTCATATGAGAATGCGACTGCTTTTGCACCAGCAAATCCTCCCCTCCAAAGACGCACCAGGGGCCGAGTGGTCAATTATATGACTGAGCGGGACAGTTCAAACACTGAGGCTACATCAGATGAAGAGGAAGACACAGTGCGCGGCAACTCCCCTCCTTGCAAAAAACAAAAAACTGCTGATGTTGGCACAATGCCTGGATCCACAGAGAAGGCGAAAGATGGCACTGTTTGGTCCCACTGGAAAGTTGAAGACTTTTCTGTTCCTGAAACCCCACAGACTGCCTTCAATGGATCCAGAGGGCCAACAGATTCTGCGAAGCGCAAAATCACAAGCCGCCTTCGCAGCTTCCTGTGTTTGTTGGATATGAACATGTTGCTGACCATCAGAGACTGCACAGTCCACGAGGCCCGCAGAACAAATCCCAGCTGGCAGATGAGTGTCTACGAGCTGATGGCTTTCCTCGCAATCCTTTTTAGAAGGGCTGCCATGGGTTACATTGGTCCCATGCGACACATGTGGGCCAATAAATTCGGAAACGCAGATATCAAACCCATAATGCCTCGTAACCGTTTTTTTGGAATAAGACGGTACCTTCGTTTTGGCAACAAGGACACCCGCAAGGAACGCATACACAATGACAAATTTGCAGCAATTTCTGACATCTGGATGCGGTTTGTTCAGAACTGTGTGTCGTCCTACAGTCCAGGGCAGCATGTTACTGTGGATGAGCAGCTGTTTCCGTCCAAGGTTCGGTGCCCCTTTTTGCAGTACATTGCATCCAAGCCTGACAAGTTTGGAATCAAGTTTTGGATTGCAGCAGATCTGGACACAAAATACATGTGTAATGCCATCCCTTACTTGGGAAAGGATCCCACTCGTCCAAAAGGAGAGAGGTTGTCAGAGAACGTTGTTCTGAAATTGATGGAACCATTTTTGGACAAGGGAAGGACTGTAGCTATGGACAATTTCTTCACCTCTCTGTCTTTGGCTAACAGGCTCCTTCAGCGAAATACAACTCTGCTTGGCACCATCAACAAAATCCGTCGGGAGCTACCAGCAACTGCAAAGGAAACCTCGGGGCGCCAGTTGCACTCCACGCAGGTCCTCAAATCTGGAAGTGCCTTGCTGATGGTGTATGCGACAAAAAAAAAGAAATCTGTCTTTCTTCTGAGTACCATGCATCACAGAGTGGAAATTGTGGACATTCAAAAACAAAAACCAAACACTGTGGTTGATTACAACCATCTCAAATGTGGTGTTGATATTATGGACCAGAAACTGCGCAACTACTCTGTGCGTGCAGGAACACGGAGGTGGCCTATGGCTGTGTTTTATAACCTGCTTGACATGGCCGCCACAAATGCACATGTTTTGTACACAGCGTGTACAGGATCCAAAGAAAGTCGTCGACTGTTCATGCTGGAGCTTTCAGAGGAACTCAAAAACAGGCTCCTGCAGGAAAAGACACAAGAGGAAGAGCAAAAACAGCTACGTCGTGAGATGAGAGTTTCCCAGCAGAAAAAAGACTCAATGCCAGGTGCGCATACTCTGCAATAACAACAGAAGTACTGAACGTTGTGTCCACTGCGGCAAATTTACCTGTGGCAAATGTAGGAAAGGCTCACCATGGGAATTAGGAAACTGCTAGATGGGACAATTGCATTTTACATTTTTCCACATTATATTTAGTGCTTTATCCATATGTAGACTGTTTTTCTTTATCTGAAAAAAAAAAAAAAAAACTTTCTGAGGCTATACCTTCTGTCTGTTGTTTTTCAAAATTGAGCTGTTTGGGGTGGGAATTGGGCTCCAGTCCCCCCAACTGATCTGTACAATGAAAATATTTCCATCAGCTGACAAGAATATTTATACAACAATGACCATCTGCCATATTTACTAGAGGGCAAACAAGCAAACATCATCCGCTCACGATTTCCAGCGGAAAGCCGGTTTTGTGCTGGAAACCCGTTTCCAGCTCAAATTCCAATCTGGCGGCAGGTGGAAATGTAAAGGTTGTGGGTGGGAAGTCTAGCTCCCAGAATAAATAGGCCCAGCAGATCGACTCAGAATTATTGAGATTTCAAGCTTGGCTTGGCTTGGCGTACAAGCTTGGCTGCAACAGACGAGCATGTGTTGTACAAGCCATGCACAGGGACCAAAGAGAGTCCACCAAAGTTAATTCTGCTACTTGCAAATGAACTTCGTAACATTTGTATGCAAGAAAAGGCAATAAAGGAAGAACACATGAGACAGCATTGTGAGATGAAGAGACTAGGGCTGTTCCTTTTGTGACATATATGTTACTCCAATACTAAAGGCATACTGTTTGTCATTCTCTAAGATTAAATTTTGAATGACATAAAAAGGCGAGACAAGACAAAATACAATTATTCTTTCTTTCATATAGTGAGCTTTGCAATATAAATGAGTCTGTTGGTGAATGGACAATAGAAATAGGCTCTGCCTTGCCTTGTTGGAAAATCATGGTTATGACTTGTTCTCAGCTCAGGAACTAGGACCACTATGATATCTGGTTGTTCAATAGGTTTGCCTAAATAAAAATTTAGATATGACATATAAATATATTCCTGCAAAAAGGTATGATGTTGCAGGGGCAGGTACTGAAAAGTGCTTGGAACTTGGTCTTGATGCCAGTTTGTTTCAGCCTTTATCCAGTCTTAATGTAGAAGGGCTGGTCATATCACAGGTTATTTGCATTACAATAGGGACAGTTAGCAAGGCAGAGTGAATACACAAACTTGCAGAGGGGAGGGGGGCTTGCAGGAAAACTGAAAATCTCTGGGACATCTAGTGTTAACAGACTGGTGCTGTGATGCAAGTCTTTAACTTAAAAATGGGGGATTTGGGGATGAATCCTGGGTTAATCCTGTCAATAATCTTAAAGAACTAAACTGGACCAAGATGGACCTGCAGGCTGGTAGCATCTGGATAACATGCTGATTATACTGTGCTGACTTAGAAGGTGGCTGCTCACATACTTGATCCTCATTTGTCTGGTAGCAGGGATGACCAGCCAACCCCAGAATACACTGCATCAGTAAATCTGAGCGTAAGCAAAGGGAGGCCCATTTTAGAGGGGATACAGGGAGGTACCGGTTCTGGAGTCGTGGTCTGTGTCTCCAATCTCTATCTAGGGCACTATATTGTGGTCACGCCATTTTAAATGAGTGTCCGAACATCTAGTGGATGAAAAAGTAGTGGACTCGAAAATCCTTCAAAAGTAGTGATTATCAATGGTCTCTGAATTATTCAGCAAATGCAGTTTGGGAAAATCTTTGTGCTAAATGATATTTTATTATTTCTGTGGTACCATAATGAAGGTGCAGTTGAAGTTGAGACACTGTCCACAGCCTTTGGCCAGCATGAACCAGCCGCCACCGTAGCTGTGGTACAGCATGGCGCTGATGAAGAGCAGCAGGTTGAGCAAAGCGTACACACACAGGAACAGCAACTTCCGGCTGTTGTTCTGCCAGTAGGCCCGGGTTAGATACCGAGGAGCCTGAGGCTTCTTCTGATCAGGATCCGGTGGTTTCAGCCAGTTAGCAGCGCTGCGGAAGATACAACAGGAAAAAAAACAGAGATTTCTGTAGGGTTTTGGTTCGTAGACAAGATATTCACATCATTAATCTGTTTACATTACAACCTTTCTGAGTGGAAAACCAGCTCACCTAATGGTGAGGTTCTCCATCACTTCTGGAAAGTTCTCCAGCTCAGCTTTAAGCTCTTCGAAGGTGATGGAGCCACTGTTGTCTTTGTCAGCTGACTCAAACAGAACCAGCGTCAAATCGTCCAGCTTCTCCTCTGGCAGAGAGATCGCACTCTCGTGCAAACACGACTTCAGAACCGTTCTCAGCTCATCTGGATCGATGGAACCACTGCCTGTTAGCACAAACAACCACAGCTATGGTGAGGTTACACTATTGTTTCGATGGGCCAGTCTGAAGAAACAAAACATCTACCAGTGTTTGGAGTAGATTGAAAGAGGTGTTTTAGTCAAGACCGTACCAACCAAGACCAAGGAGTACCTAGACCTAGACAAGGCCAAGACCTTTGGAGACCAAGACCACATAATGTCTTGGTCTTGTATTGGTCTCTGCTTCTAAAAGTCTTGCCTTGTCCATGACTCAGCACTCCTTGGTCTTGGTTGGTGTGGTCTTAACTACGACACTTGATTAAACACCCTGAATTTAGCTTTGAAGCTTGTTGGAGGGTTTCTGACCGTCAACGTCGTAGACTTGAAACAGGAAGCGGAGCTTATCTGTCTCATCGCCGTGGATGAGGAGATTGAGAGCTTTGAGCAGCTCATCCAGACTGATGGATCCACTGCCATCAGAGTCGAACAGCGCAAAGAAGCGCTCAGCGAAGAAAGACTACAAAAAGGAAGCAGAATACAGGAAGCATTTAAGACAGAGAAGCAGCTGGTGCTCTGTACTGTAGGATGAAATATTGAAATATATGACCCATATACCCGAACCCTCTGAAACCCTGAGTTTGGACCAAGCTTGGATCAGTTAACCATGCTGAGCTTGGTTCTAAGAGCATTTACACATCATGCTGGCACAATTTCTCGCCTCCTATCGGTGGTCCATGATATTACAGCTCTAAAGGTGGGAATTACACCAACAAAAATGGTTGTGAACGGGGGAAGAGATCTGTGAATTGCAAACCCGGACACGCCAGAAAACCTGCAATATTAGTCAGCTGGCTTTAAATAGGAGATGACGTGGTCTACGCATGCACTCTTTATTATCAGAGATCTGAGCCATAACTGAACCGTGCCTAGCCCTACTGTTGAACTAGACCTAGATTTAGCACGGTTTGGTTTTGTCCGGCACGGTCCAGTTCAGTTGCGCTCCATTTACACTCAACAGTTAGCTCATAATCGTGCTCGCCGTGGTTTTAAAAGGGTAGTGTAAATGGGGCTATAGAGTCAAAATCTAGAGTGTTTCACACAATCAACTAAACTGTGATTGTGTGAAAACTCTTTAAGGTGTCAACAGTTTAACCAAGTAGAAAACACCCTCTGAATCCCCCCTTCTTATGGAACGGAACCACCAGCTCAGTCTGCCAGTCCTGGCCCACTGGTCCTGGCCTCCATGTGATATTGAAGAGACATGTCAGCCATTACAGATCAAGGACCTAGATCCAGGGTCCTGAGTTACCCATGGGGGATCTTATCAATCCCCTACAGGGACACCAGACTCAGAGGCGGCGCCTGGGACCCAATCCTCAACAAAATCCATCCTGAATGTAATGCTTCGATTGATTGCCAAATGAGACCCATTTAACATGGATGTGCTTGGTATCACATCCGCCGAACAGTGCAGGAAATTCTGACCCAAAGTAAATTAAGGAAAATAGAGTGCATGCTGATAGATGCATCGACGCTGAACTGCTGAGGCGTCAGTTTGCTAATCAAACCATGGTTAAAGGGTCAAATGAAAAGGCTGTTTTAAAAATATTTTTCAGTATAAACAATCAAAATGTCTTTAAAAAATGTATTTTATGGACTGCATGATGGCGCAATTTGCAGCAATGCTGAAGTGGTCCAGGGATCTAGTGACCCCCAAGGGGGGGGTTTCAACCCACCTACCTTGAGAAGCCCAGCTCTAACACCTGTATGTGTTTTGTAATGTTTCTCACCTCTTTGACTTTGAGTGCAGTTTTAAACTCATCGATGTCGATCTCTTTGTCGTCTCCGGCGATAGTCTCAAACTGTTTGGTTACCCACTCCAACCAGTGAGCGTCTTCATCCACACTCATGATTCTGTGGGAAGAAACCATACAGGCTGATCCTACATCTGCAGCGTCTCTCACCCCAGGCTCACACCGACTCCGGTCTTACCGTTGCGGTGCGGTGGGTGCGGCGCCGCAGTGATTCCAAGTCATTAAAAAGACGTAAACCTCTCTCACCGGCTGCTGAGCTGTCCGGCTGCGGTTACCGAGACACTCCGGCGCTGCAGAAAATTCCGCAAGAAAGCTATCCTTGCGGCGTGCCGGAGCCCTCCGCAACAAGCTCTCGCAAATATCCTTATTTGGGCCGTGTTATCGCGTGAAGTTACGCGAACTCAAGTGAACTTCTGTTAAATCTCCGGACCTGTTGCCGGAGCCGCAGAGCCACACTGCACCGTAGTCAAAAGGGCCGTGTGAGAGGGGGTGTGCGGGAGTTGCAGTCTCCGTCGGCTCGGTAACCGCACCGGAGCCAGTGTGAGCAAGGGGTAACCTCTGTACAGTGGGTGATGGTTGGAAATGGACACTTCACTCACACTCCCCGTGTTTCACGAATTGCGTGAAAAACATAGTGCTACTAAAGCCACTAGGTGGCAGTCTGAGTCTATTTCCGTGTCCCATGAGTCAGGATAAGATAGGTGAATGAGCAGACTGGGAGGGCTATCACGTGTTGCGAGCTGAGCAGATTATTGTTCCCCAGGTTTAGCGTAGAGGGTAGGGTGAATGGTCTGCAATTCAAAAGGTTGAGGGTTCGGGCCCAGTTGTGGCTGAGTTTATCATTGTTGCCTTACATGTTTTTCTATTTTTTTTAATCACAATAACTTATTTATATATATTACAGATACTAGTCTATTATGCTGTTTGACTTTATGGCATCTTTCTTTAATTTAGATCAGCTGATGTGCGCTCCACCTTTCCAAGGAATTACATTAGACCATAGGGATTATCATTCTACAGCCTCAATATCTTACTCTGATAATAATAGGCATATTGTTATACTATTTTTGTTCTTTTTTTTATCATCTAGCTGGTAAAATTTTCAGTTTGATCTGGAAAAGGACGCTATGATGCCTGATACAACAAGCATGAAAGGCCCAACCCCCCAGGCTTTTTGGGCACATTATGCAAGAATGCTGCTTGCTGCCGCAAGGAATAGTGGCGTTTCTAAACTGTTGTCAGGGATGGTTGTGACCCACCCAAAAGTCAGTGAGCTAATCCGGAGTATTCCCATTTTAAATACAGTGAACCCTTGTTTATTGCGGAGGTTACGTTCCAAAAAGAACCCGCGATAGGTGAAATCCGTGAAATAGAAACCTAATTATTTTTAGAGTTATCATACAATGAAATGTAATCACTTGTCACACCTCCTCTTAGACTATGAATTCATTAAGGGTGGGATAGTCTGTGACTATGTTAAACTGGTTTAGATTTCATCTGATGGAACAGAGACACTTTGTTTGAAGTGGTTTTATTTTGAGATAAACATATTTGTCAGTCTCTGTTGGTTGGATTCTTCCTGTTTGTATTTAAGTGCTGAACTGTTTAATAATTTTCACCTTATCTCCCTATATTTAACTGTAATTTTTTTAATCCACTCATTGATGTCCTGAAGCTGCTTCATATTTTTTAAAGGTATTATTTAGCAGCTTTTATTCATTAGTAGCTGGACAGGAAGTAGAGCAGGAAGAGAAAGATAAGACATGCAAAAAATAAATACATCAAACAGCTGCTACAACGCTAAACCAGAACAACACTGTATCTCTCCTCCCAGTTTTCAAACCATCTCCAACATCAATTTTAAAGTTTCTCTCAGGAACCCAACTTCAACAAAAACTATAAAAAACAAAACAAAGTGGACGAAGCATCTCCTGATATACTCTGAAGATGAAAAAGTGGGAAAATGCAGGCGTATCAGCAGAGAGCGAAACATGAAAATAAAGTAAAAAAAATGAAAAACAGGAAATAAGGACAGGAGACTGCAGTGTAAGGATCTTTGATGACGCTCCGTTGTGCACCTAGCGCAGTGTCACTGAAGGAACTCTGAAACAGCTTCATGCATGAAGTGAATGAAGGTTTGATTGAAAACTGTCTTTCAGTTAAATGCTGCAGGAGAAAGAAGTTTCCACCCGGTCGGATCAGTCTGAAATATTCACGGATTGATTTGAGCTCATCTTTTTCCAAGATGGAGGGATCATGCTAGATAAAACTGATATTAGGGATGGATTTCCTTTGAACTTATACGCAAAGGCTCAAGTATGTCCTCTTAGCGCGGCCATGCTCAATACTCTCTGGTTTAAAGCAGACGAACCAATCAGAGCCCAGGACCCATGATGCAGCAGAGCATTCCTGTAAGGAAAGATTATTTCAATTATACCTTTTAATGTTTTTTCATGGTTAAAAATTAATCAACTGGCTGTTGAAACACTTTATGCCTCATTTGCAGTGATCAGATGTTCTAACCTGTTTGCCTCACCAATGAGACTCTGTTTCTTTCCACACTGGTTCACAATGTACAGCTGTTAAAGAGGGGGACACAAACAGAACTACACATTGAAAAACGGGGCCAAGAACAGAAATGATTTTGATACTTGTGGAATTTCCTCCTTGGGTTTTTAACAAGTTTCTTAAACAGCTGCAATCATGGTCACCAACCACACCTTTACACGCCTTGTCTGCTTTAGAGGTCTAAGCAGTGTTAGACATTTTTGTAAATTAAGTACTTTGCTGTTTTTGTCATTAATGTATAAAATACTCCTAAAAGGAAAACTTCATCACACCAGGTGTCCATGATCTCATTGAAAGTCGTCAAGCTGTCTGGAAAAGACTGAGAAGAAAATCCTAACGGGAAGTGATCCTCGGTGGGTGTGAACGTCGTTCCTTTCACCATGTGGAAGTCATAAGAAAGTGGAGCAAAAAAAAGTGAATAAACTTTCTGATGAAATAAAACAAACTCTCTGTTTAAACCTGAAAGCTTTAATCTGTGGGTCTCATATCTTCACCGTAGATCAAACTTCTTCCCTCCAACAGAAAGGCTCAGGCCATCTGACAGCACCCAAACAGACCTCATCCTGTGCTGCACGTAGGAGCTGCTTCCTCAGAGGAACCTGGGTTCTCTACCAGTACCTCAGCAGTTCTGACAGGTATGTTCCCAGAGATGACCTGCTGCAGTGGCTCGCTCAGCCTTCAGAAACAGCTGATCATACTCCGGTTCAACTCCCTGTTGCTGCTGACAGCACAGTCCAGCTGCATCCTAACCATCGGTACCGGATCCAGAAAGGCTCATCAGAGCTTTGATCCAGATCAATTCAATTCAAAATGTCTTAATTCCAAAAGGAAATTAAATGTTGCACTAAATCATAAGTTATTTTTATGTGTTGTAGGTCTTGATAGGTTTAGGCAGGAAGGATCTCCTGTAGAGGTCTGTCTTGCACCGGATCTGGAGAAGCCTCTGAATGAAGAGGATGCTCACTATTGTCCATAATTTTCTTCACTTTATGAAGAATTCTTCTTTGAAATAATTTCCAGAGGTTGTAGAGGAGTTCCTGGAGCAGAGCCCGCCTTCTTAATTAGCTTGTTGAGCTTCTTTAAGTAATTAGCTCTAATAATGTTTCCCAAGAAAATGATGGCAGAAGAGATCACACTTTCCACTTATAGAAGATATGCAGCATCTTACTGCAAACACTGAAGGTCCTGAACTTCCTTTGGAAGTACAATCTGCTCCGTACCTTCTTGTAGAAGTCTTCACAGTTGTGTCTCTAGTCTAGTTTGTTGTCCAGCTGAACACCAAGGTATTTATACTCCTCCACCACCTCCACTTCTTCTCCTCTGATCTTTATAGGATTTAACTTGTTCTTTTTTCTTCTGAATCAATCATATCCTTGTTTTGTTGGCATTCAGGATCAGATGATTGTTTCCACACCATGCCATAAACCTTTTCAGCAGCTCTCTGTCCTCAGCTTCTTGTCCACCGTTGATGCACCCAATGATTGACTTTATTGATTGACTTTTTTGGTTGCAGAGTCCTCTGAGTATTTCAGTAGATGACAGGACTCTGTCCGGTACTGGAAGTCAGACGTGTAAAGAGTAAAAAGGAACGGAGAGAGTACTGTCCCCTGCGGTGCTCCTGTGCTGCTGATTACTTTATTAGACAGCTGAGGCTTCAGTCTGACAAACTGTGGTCTGTTTGTAAGGTAGTCTTTGATCCAGGTGATAAAATGGTTAATAATCTGAGCAGAGAAAAACAACAGTGTGATCTGATTTCCCAAGAGGAAATACTTCAGAAATGTAGGAGTCCTTCACATTTGTATAAAACAAGTCCAAAGTTTCGTTTTCTCTGGAGCACTTTTGGAAAGTTGGCAGTGTAGCAAAGGGTTCTTGCCACAAATCCATTTGGCTGTTGTGTCAGTAGCTTAGCTCAGCTACTGCATTTGGCTGTTTTGTCAGTGTGGTTTCTATCAGTCTGATCCTCAATAAATATTAATCATCACTGATTTGATCCAAAATTCAGCAGATTTAAAACACTTCATTTATAATGTTTGTTAAAATGTCAGAACTTCCAGAACAGACCCAAACTCCCCATAACCCCCTATCCCAGTTAACCAGCATTCAAAATGACCCAAGATGGTTTAGGTTAGATTAATTGGCTTCTCTAAAACTCTCATTAGGTCTGAGTGTGTGCATGAATGGTTCTTTGTCCGGTTTTTGTTACCCTGCAATGGACTGGTGACCTGTTTAGGGTGTACCCCGCCTCTTGCCCATAGATGGCTGGAGATAGGTACCAGCACCCGTCACTTGAAAACCCGCTTCGGATAAACATGACGGAAAAATGGATGGATGGATTAAAATCTGGACGGTTTCACAAATTGATGAAAGATATTTTAAGGTTCCCAAACAGCATGTAAAAAATCATTTCTCTCTCTTTCTCTCTGGTGATTTGCTACTGTGTCACCAAATCACCTGGACCCTTTTCCATCCTTCAGACTGTTTCCTGAGATAAAGAACTGCTCTGGCCTTTTTTTGGATTCGGTGGACAATAAAGGAATCGATCTAGAAGGAGCTTCTGGAAAAGTTATCTATTGGATAATTGTAAAAACTCTCAATCAACACAAACTGATTGGATGCAGTGACACAGTATGGAGAACTAATTTTTCTTTAAAATCTGAATTCAAGCATGATTGGAAATAGTTGTATAAGCCTTCTCTAACGAAAAAAAAACATGCAGATTTAAAATGGAGAATCCTTCATGGTATTGTAGCAGTAAACTCTTTTGTTTCTGTTATTAATCCTGCGGTGGAAGAAAAATGTCCATTTTGTGAACAGAGAGAAACAGTGTTTCATAGTTTTTCTGACTGTGTTCGTCTGTCAGCTCTTTTTGTGCTCTTGAGAACTACACTCACCGGCCACTTTATTAGGTACACCTGTCCAACTGCTCGTTAACACTTAATTTCTAGGCAGCCAATCACATGGCGGCAACTCAGTGCATTTAGGCATGTAGACATGGTCAAGACAATCTCCTGCAGTTCAAAGCGAGCATCAGTATGGGGAAGAAAGGTGATTTGAGTGACTTTGAACGTGGCATGATTGTTGGTGCCAGAAGGGCTGGTCTGAGTATTTCAGAAACTGCTGATCTACTGGGATTTTCACGCACAACCATCTCTAGGGTTTACAGAGAATGGTCCGAAAAAGAAAAAACATCCAGTGAGCGGCAGTTCTGTGGGTGGAAATGCCTTGTTGATGCCAGAGGAGAATGGCCAGACTGGTTCGAGCTGATAGAAGGGCAACAGTGACTCAAATAACCACCCGTTACAACCAAGGTGGGCAGAAGAGCATCTCTGAACGCACAGTACGTCGAACTTTGAGGCAGATGGGCTACAGCAGCAGAAGACCACACCGGGTGCCACTCCTTTCAGCTAAGAACAGGAAACAGAGGCTACAATTTGCACATGCTCATCGAAATTGGACAATAGAAGATTAGAAAAACGTTGCCTGGTCTGATGAGTCTCGATTTCTGCTGCGACATTCGGATGGTAGGGTCAGAATTTGGCGTCTACAACATGAAAGCATGGATCCATCCTGCCTTGTATCAACGGTTCAGGCTGGTGGTGGTGGTGTCATGGTGGGGGGAATATTTTCTTGGCACTCTTTCGGCCCCTTGGTACCAATTGAGCATCGTTGCAACGCCACAGCCTACCTGAGTATTGTTGCTGACCATTTCCATCCCTTTATGACCACAATGTACCCAACTTCTGAAGGCTACTTTCAGCAGGATAATGCGCCATGTCATAAAGCTGGAATCATCTCAGACTGGTTTCTTGAACATGACAATGAGTTCACTGTACTCAAATGGCCTCCACAGTCACCAGATCTCAATCCAATAGAGCATCTTTGGGATGTGGTGGAACGGGAGATTTGCATCATGGATGTGCAGCCGACAAATCTGCGGCAACTGTGTGATGCCATCATGTCAATATGGACCAAACTCCCTGAGGAATGCTTCCAGCACCTTGTTGAATCTATGCCACCAAGAATTGAGGCAGTTCTGAAGGCAAAAGGGGGTCCAACCCGTTACTAGCATGGGGTACCTAATAAAGTGGCCGGTAAGTGTATTTTCAACAGATTTGGAAAAATTTTCACTAAACATGGATTTATTTGTATATTTAAATTCATACATCAAGAAATGAGTAAATGTCGATTGATCAATTTTTTGTTAGGACAGGCTAAAGTGGCCATCTTCATAGGTAGAAAGAGGAAGGTGGTGGAAGAGTCAAATATTGATTTGGTTTCTTTCTTTATTAATCTGGAGAAGTTTAGGCTTGAATTTAATTTTCACAGATCAGTTTCAGATTTAGATACTTTTTGTGACATCTGGAGTTATGGGAAAGTAATTTGTAGTGTGGTAAGAGGAGAACTCATTTTTGGAATGGTGTTAATGTAATTTATTCTGTGGTGTAATTTCCTGTTACATAGTTTGTGATACTGTGTCGATTATTTATTGAAAATAAATGAGTTATTAAAATCAAAATCTCTCTCTCTCTCTTTAAAGGAATTAAATTCTTGGAACATTAATTTAAGGAAATAATTTTATCCCATTCTGCAGCTTAGTTTCACAGTATGAATTTCAAAAAAGACATTTCGACAATATCAACATATTAGATCTATAATAAAAGACAGATTTAAGATTAATGAAGCAGGTCTACAAATGTGTAGAGGATTTATAAGCCTTAATCCTCCAAAATTACTGTCCAAAATATATACAAGTTTATCCAAAATAGATGAGTCTATATCACTTCCCACTGGAAAATGGAGAGGTATTTATCCATTAGGCTTGATCAAAATGTTTGGTCTAAATGCGTCGCAAAGTATGTTACAGCCTAAGTTTTTATCTGGTGGCACAAAAACTTACTTTTTTTTTTCAGATGTGAAATTAGGGCTGCTTAATCTCAAATTTGAAGAAGTTAGTCAGATTTGCATGGGGTTACTATGGTTCCTTTGTTTGAAGCAAAGAACATGTATAGAATATTATTTTTTTCAAATGTTTTACACATATTTCATATTGTATAACTTTTTACAAATTTTTCTTTTTCAGATTGAATTTTACAATTTAATTTTTTTTTGACTGAGTTTTACAGATCAGATTATCTTTACTGAATGAAAGAATAATCATGAAAAAAAAGGACCAAGTTCACTTCATAAATCTGGGATTAGTGCCAAACTCAAAAACTATTAACCAAAAATCTGCAAACATTATGTTGATTTAATGCAGATTTAACTGAGAGCATGGAGCAAACATTAAAGATGAAAGTTGAGATCCCTGTAGGAAAAAAAACCCTGAATAAACAGATTTCCTCAAAGTCCATCCAGTTCCCTGGAACCACCAGACTGGATCCAGCAGAACCTTTTCATCCACCTTGAGCTTAACTCAACATAGACCTGTTAGAACTTTAATTCTGGCTCTGAACCAAATGCAAAAAGCTATGTTAGTCTTTATTTCTGCTTTTCCTTAAAATAATTTATTAATTTTAACTATTTTTGCACTGAAATAGACTCCAACACGAATCTATTCTGTCAGCAGAAGGAAAGAGTTTTACCTGCTGCAGTGGAAGCTGCTCGGTCCTCAGCTGCTCTGGTTCTGATGTCCGTCTGCTTCTCCTTCTCCTCCTGTTGTTCTGAGGGCCAGCCTTGGTCAGCTGCAGCAGACATCCTGCCACCGCCTCACACACAAGCACATCTCTCTATCCTCGTGGGGACTTTCAATTAACTTCCATTCATCTCTAACCCATTTCTACTGCCTAAACGTGTCCCTACCCTAACCATTACAGGTTCATACTCCTACCCCATCCTAAACTCAACTCAGAGCTTAGTCCTAAACCTAGCCTTAACCCTAAAACAGCATTTGTACCCATGGGGACCAGACATCGTTCCCCACTAGAGTAACCGAGATGTGCTAAGATTCATAGGAAATGCTCCCCACCATATAATAAACACACATCCACATCCATGTTTGTTCTGCTATATGCAGTTAGGACCATGTGTTGATTCCCATTGAATTTTAGTCATTTTCAACCCTTTCTATGGCCGAACTGTAAAATCACACCTAAACCCAACCATTACCGATGCATACCTGACCAACCAGAACCTAATTGTAATCTTAGTTGTAAACTTAACCATAAGCAAAATAACATTCTGAGAACTAGCAAAATGTCCTCAATTTACAACAACTGGTCCTCATTAGGATGGTAAAATTGGAAAAATTATTCTTATTCTGGTTTCTATACAAGTCCCCCCCCCCACATGCACCAACCTAACTCCATCTGCAGCCACACTTTGGTCGTCTGCACAGGAAACTCTTGTTCGACTCAAGTTTCCCAAAACTTTGCTAAAATACAAATAAAGAAAAACTGCAAAAATGTTTTTAAAACTTGGAAACAGACATATTTTTATATCAAAGTAAAAAAATCAAACCCAAATTTAAAATAAAATAATTTGCCTTTATTTTATGGTTCATTTCTGAGGACAGACATGTTTGAATTCTGAAGAAACAAGCTTTAATATTATACCCTTCAAAACTTGGCAGGAAAATAATTCAAGGCACAAAATGGACGTTAGTTTTCCAAGGCTGACGTGAAAAGATGGACGGACCGGAAACGTTCGTTTCTCATCATCTGAGGAGGATCATTCAGGCGTTTCTTCACCTGTCAGACGTAGGAGGAACCAGGTTTACTGATCCAACGGACCTCCAGAACAAAACCAGAGCAGCTTCTACAGATGATCCCGGTGCAAACTGGTCAGACTGGGATGGAAAATCTGTTGGTGGTTTTCCAGTGCTGAAGGACAGCGGGACCTTTTACCTCTGTGGTCAGGAATGTTGGATAGGTTTGTCTTCCTGCCTTGTTTGCCCAGTTTCGTGGCAATGCGGCGGTACAATCAGACCCATCGCTGATCAGGCCGATCTGCAATGAGCTTCGCCACAACAACACTCAGCAGGAAGCTGCAACGCACAAGGGAACAAACAACCTTCTTCGTCTGAGCCCTGATTTCATGGATTCTGAGATTCAGCTTTTTCCTGAGTTCTGATACATTCAGGACCGACCCGATCCACTGGCAGCTGCTGGATGGTTTCCTGATGGGTCGTCATAGTTCTGGAGCCGAGTCCAGAAAGATCCTGCAACAGACGGACCTCTGCTCCAACCAGACACATTAAAGTCTCCTGTGGTGGAATATTCAGCAGGACCTTCAGAATCACAGCAGACCAAAGCATGCCAACCTGAATCTCTCTTTATTCTCAGCCAGAGCAGAATAGAGAATATCTCCTGAAATAAAAGCAGTTGCAGCTTCACTCCTTGTCCTGGTCCTCCATGATGGCCCGTAGAGCCTCCAGGCCCTCCAAGGACACGGTCAGCTGGCCCACCACCTCGCTGCTGTCCTCCACGTCCAGCACTGCAGCAAACACACAGAGACCAGCAGATGAAGTCTGACAGATCTGGAGAATTTCGGCTAAAACAAAAGCTTCAGACTGATGCCAGTCTGAAACATTTCTGCACCTTTTAAAAATCTGACAAACATTCATCAAAGCAGGAAGTTAAATAAGAAGGACAGAAGATGTGTGACTGACAGCCTCCCAGAGTCTGGGAGGCTGTCCTTCAGAGGTCTGTGCTGATCGCTGGGTTCTCAGGAAACCAAACTCTGGGCCCATATCATGATGCCTTCAGAGGAGGGCGGCTATAACCCCTGATTTAAAGGGCGACTCACCCTTAAATCAACATTATTTTGCTCATAAACTGTATAAATAGATGTCTTCTAATGCTGTCTACATATTCCAGGCATTATTTTCAGTTTACTGCAGATTTGCTGAAATCCTGTTTTTGTGTCTTGAACTGCCTGTTTGGACCCCCCCCTCAGGTTAAAAAGGGTTACTGCATCTGATTTTCCCTGTTGTCTTAGCAGAGGAACGTAATGTCATTCAGGAGGTGAGCAGCCAGTCTGGATCATCTTTCCACTCCTGTATAAGGATTAGACATTAGTTTGGAGTCAGTCAGTCACATGATCTTAAAGCTGTTGGAAAACAAAATTCATTTTGAAAAGAAAATGGTTTATAAAAAAGTAAATGCATCAAATTTGGACAGAAAATAGTTTTCCTTCATCCTTCTGTTCTAAAGTTATAACTTGGGATTAATTTGATCTCAATGGTTGAGAAGCCCTGAAAGGTTTCGACTTAATGTTAATCAGAGTGTTTGGTTCAGATATTTATAGACAATCGCCATGACAACCAACAAATGAGGGAGGAAGGAGCATAACCACACAGAACCTCTGAGAACCTGGATAATTTAACTACAGTGATGTAGTTAATCAATCCCAGTTTATCCCTATAGTTTATCCCTTTAGTTTTGTAAGAAATATAAACGTTAAAGTCGTAGGGAAGCGGCTCTTCCAACCGTTGCATTTCCAATTTCGCCCGAGTGGTGCCAAACTTTACACGACTGCATAAAGGGAATGTGATTGGTTGTTTATCAAGGGGGCGGGATTGTGGTGGCGGAAGGTTTGCAAGCCTTTTGGTTGTGGCCGGTTTGTCGGAAGCATCTTGCTAACCAGTTCGCAACTTAGTGCTAGTAGGTTCCCAATGGGAAATTCCATTGGGACCAAGTAGCACTAAATTGGTGACCTAGAAATTACACTGTCAAGGAACGCTATGGACAGAGGAAATATGCAAGAAGAGGAGAGTTTAGTGTCGGAGGTCGTGGATGAGTCTCCTCCGTCATACAGATTATTTAGAGGAGGAAAGTGGCGACAAAGTTGTTGTGGAAGAGGACGCCAGGGCGGCAGAAGCTTGGTTTGGTGTAGAAGGCTTCCAGCCGTACATGTTTGAGCCCTTGCCTCGCAACGCTGCCAGTTCATTAGCTCTACGCCTGCCGAAGACACAGACGTCCATCCCCGTGAACACTGGGACGCAACTCAATGGGAAAGGAAATTATTCCTATTTCTTGTTTTAACAGTTGCGTATATTAGCTGCAACATATGAATCAAGATGCTATGACCAGTGATGGGACTAACGGCGTTGAAAGTAACGGCGTTACTAACGCCGTTACCTTTTTTTAGTAACGAGTAATCTAACTAATTACTTTGACTGTAACTATAACGCAGTTACCATTGCAGACACCCCGTTACTGTGCGTTACTCAGGTCACACAATTAACCTTTTTTCATGATAGGAGTGGTGCGCGCCTTGTCATGAGAGAGGGGAGGATGAGATTGGCTGATGTATAGTGAGATTCCGTCTGTCAGTTGGGTAGGTGGGTGTTTCTGCTGGTGGGTATTAACGTACAGCACACACAGAGAGATGGAGAGTGAGGAGGACTCCAGCAGCAAAACAGCGTTTTCCTGATGGAAATACTGGTGTTACGTCGAGCTGCGTTTCCTCATCAGATACGGTTTCCCCTGCATCTCCGCACAGCGCAGGCGGCACGATTCACCGCGCAAGCGACAGGAAACGCGCATGCTCGCTAAAGGCGCGCAACAGTCGCCCTGTGCTCGCGCCACAGGGGAACTATGGAGAGCGTGAACGATCAAATGATTAACCTGATAACAGCCAGAAATGATAGCCTGTATGGAGAAAGGGAGAAATCTGGATGGATGGATGGATACTCTGCCTTTCCAACCTACTGTATTTTTTATTTTAAACATTATTTGATGGCCTTTGAGGCAGGGATGGAGAGCCATATTTTATGTCACACACAGAGTATACAGATAGATAGATAGATGGATAGGTGGATGGATGGATGGATGGATGGATGGATGGATGTTGCAGTATCTATAACAACCCAAACACACAGGATTTCAGAATTAGACATCCCCAGTTATTCATTTCATTCACTCACCAGATCTGAATGCCCTGTTTCTCCAGGGTTTCTATCTAGGACCACTCATAACAAGACCCTGAACGTTGATTCAAGAATAACGCGCCACTGGAAGCAACAAATGTTTGAATTGCCTAAAACTAGCAGCCATTGCTTGAAGGATGCGGGAAAGAGCAATTCCTGTTAAGCCGTGGGGCGAGACAGCGCCACCTTACTCTGAATTAAAGGAATAGTACACCCAAAACATGATTAGCCTTCATTTTCTACTCACCCCCATGCTGAGCAACACTCTGGAGTACTTTTTTGATATCTCAAATGCATCTGGAGATCTGGGAGGCTTCTTGCTGTCTGCTGACATTCAAATAATGGAGGTCTATGGTGACCGAGACAGAAAGGTCCATAAAAGTCCACAAAAAACGTGTCAATATTCCTCCATACTGCTCGTCCAATGTATTCCAAGTGTCCTGAGTGGGTAGCATCCAGAATTTACTCGAAACGAAGTCATTTAGAATGTTTTTAAGAGCATAAACAGTGGTGTATAGGATTTCCTGAAAGCGCGCACATGCGCGCTCACGACGCTACGGAAGCCGGCAGACCAAACCAGATGAAAGTGCGCATTCAGCTCGGCAAAGAACTCCTGCTCTTCCTCAACACTGAAGTCCTCAGACATTTTTCTTTCGTTGTTTCTTTCTTTGCACAGGTAAACAGCACATTTCTTCTTCTACGCTTGCATTATTGGCAGAGCAGACGCTGAATGCGCACTTTCATCTGGTTTGGTCTGCCGGCTTCCGTAGCGTCGTGAGCGCGCATGTGCGCGCTTTCAGGAAATCCTATACACTACTGTTTATGCTCTAAAAACATTCTAAATGACTTCGTTTCGAGTAAATTATGGACGCTACCCACTCAGGACACTTGGAATACATTGGACGAGCAGTATGGAGGAATATTGACACGTTTTTTGTGGACTTTTATGGACCTTTCTGTCTCGGTCACCATAGACCTCCATTATTTGAATGTCAGCAGACAGCAAGAAGCCTCCCAGATCTCCAGATGCATTTGAGATATCAAAAAAGTACTCCAGAGTGTTGTTCAGCATGGGGGTGAGTAGAAAATGAAGGCTAATCATGTTTTGGGTGTACTATTCCTTTAAACAAAGGCTTGTAAAGCAATGCGAATTGAGTCAGTGCAGCATCTCAAACCAGAAGAGAGAGAATGTTCATATGCCTATATTAAAAACATTTTGAGATCTACATCTAAAAAAATAAAAACACTGCAGTTGGACGGTTCATATGCTGACTGAGGCAGAGAGGTGAGCGCTATACGTTCGACCTTGTCTGACATGATTTTCTGTAGGATCAGTATGGGAGAATTATCCTGCCCTAATGCAAGAGCACATAATTTCAATTTGAGAAAAGAATTGTATCTTCTTGCACTCAAAACTTATAATGCTCACACTCAAAACATGCGCTCTCTCTCAAATATTTTCTCTTCTCTCTCAAATCTTTGTTTCTTCTCTCAGATTTAATGCTTCTTGCACAGATATTTTCTCCTCTCGCTTGCCTCCTTCTCTTTGCGCACAAACCGCGCTCTGCTTGAGTCTCAGTTACGCTCGCAAACCCGTAGGCTCTGCTTGTGGATTTTCTTTGCTCTCTCTCAGATTGGATCAGATCGTCACCTAGCAACCTTTCCAGCCAATAGAACGACAGCCTCGGAAAGGGTGCGCTTGTCTCAAGCAGCAGGAACAGTGCATCTTGATGCATCTGACCAGCCAAAGCAGCGCCTCATGAGCTTCTGAAGGGCGCGATTTTCTCATTTAAAAATACATTAAAACTATTTTTTACCCACTGATTACAGCAAAGATAGCAAAGCCGCTCTCTGTCATTGAACACTGGAGCAGTAGAAGCATCACACACATCTGGACACACTTTACTGGATGCACTTTAGGAGCATGAATGATGCTCTGGAGGCACGTCTGAACTTAATGTGGACAAGCATAAAAAATGAAACAGCAGGCGCTTTTTTGATGCTCAAAGCGCGTCCCTGACGTCGCATCAGGGTCAGGGCGCAAACAGGGCTTTAAACCAATGAGAATCAACACACGGTCCTCACTACACTTAGCAAGGAGGGGAAGTGTGTGCTGACCGTTCAGGCTGGCCTCCACAACGTCCTGCTGCTTCTCCACCACCTCAGGGATCCTCAGGTAGGCCACGCCCACATCCTCACACTCCCTCTCCTGCTCCTCTTCCTCCGGCGGCTCGCTCACCACCGTGAACTGGATCCTGTGGGAGACACACCATCATCATCCTCAGTTAGCGATCAGTTCGGCATCAGAAGATGTGATGATGGTGAACGGTGGAGCGTGTTTTGATGATATCAGCATTCAGTCAGATGTCAGTATCCATGAAGGATGATGAAGTGAAACTTTTCATTATTACAGTCATGAAAAATCTGATTTTTAAACAAACGTTTAAAACTCGATTTCTGAACATAAAAAGGGATTTTTTTTTTATTATAAATTAATCCAAAACTAACCCTGATTTACTCAGACTGAATCTTAGGGGTAGTTACACTTTTCTTGGATGCAAAGGTTTTCTCCCCTCAGGCAAGAACCTTTAGAGGAACAGAAGAGGCTAAAGCAGGTCCTGTGATGTTTGGATTCTTTGAGCATCTTGAAGCCCAGTGAACTGAACTACACTGCATTGAACTGAAGTGCACTGAACCAAACTACACTGGAATAATCGGAACTGCACTAAACTGAACTGAATTACACTGAACTGAACTGGACTGAAGTAGACTGAACTGAACTACACTGAACTAAATTGGACTGATCTGAACTGCACTGAGCTGAACTGCAGTGAACTGAACTGAGCTGAACTGCAGTGAACTGAACTGAGCTGAACTGAAGTGAACTGAACTGAACTGGACTGCACTGAACTACAGTGAACTGAACTGAACTGGACTGCGCTGAACTGAACTAGACTGAAGTAGACTGAACTGAACTACAGTAAACTGAACTGAACTGCACTGAGCCGAACTGAGCTGAACTGAACTGCACTGAGCTGAACTGCAGTGAACTGAACTGAACTGGACTGCACTGAACTACAGTGAACTGAACTGGACTGCGCTGAACTGAACTAGACTGAAGTAGACTGAACTGAACTACAGTAAACTGAACTGAACTGCACTGAGCCGAACTGAGCTGAACTGGACTGAACTGGATTGCGCTGAACTGAACTAGACTGAAGTAGACTGAACTGAACTGAACTGGACTGCACTGAACTGACCTCAACTGCACTAAAGCCAAAGACCAACTCGCTGGTTTTAACATGAAAACGTCTGATATCAGGTAATGACTCCTTTAGCTTCTGAGTGATTAGCTCAAATCATCCCTGCTGCTTAGGTGGGAGGATAAAAAAAACAACTGCTAACAGCGCCAAGGCCTCAGACACCGTCCCCCATGTATGATGTCTGTGTTTTTGGAGGAGCTGTACCAAAACTGATATTTCACCCTACTGGAGTACTGCTCCAGGCTGAGTGACAGAGTCTGTTTGACCTGCCGTCCACAGCATGGTGAGTATGCAGGAGAACACTGCTGTTGTTCTAAATCGTCATCGTCGTCATGGACGGTATGGGAGAAGATCTGAGGAGGTTTTTAAATGGTCTCACTGAACCAAAAGAGGACAGAGAAAAGCTGAAACACCTGATTAGTAGCAGGAAGTTCAGCTGTGGAATCTGCTCGATGGACTTGGGTCGATCGATTCAGAGGGTGAGTTCATAACAGATCAGCTGTCTCAATCCCTGTCTCACTGTTTTCTCCTCCTTACCTCTCCATCTGAGCGTTCCGTCCTCGCAGGACTTCCCTCAGCAGTCGCCGCCTCGCTCCGTTGTTCTCTGCATCCACAGGAATCACTGCAGGAAGACAAACAGCCAACAAGGATCTGAATCAAACACAATAAACCTGGAGGGATTTCTTCCTCTGTCATCATCATCACACTATAAAACACGTCAGCCTCATTTGCTTATGAAAGGCCATGTGAAGGATGAACCAATGAGGAACGCCAGTTTATTTCCACTTATATTTCTATGTCACTCAGATCTTCCTCTGCTCTAACCATGTTCATGGTTAGAGCAATTCCTCACACTAAGCATGGTTGTAGCGACAGTGAAGAGGGGAAAACTCCAGGAAGAAACCTCCAGCAGAAGCAGGCTCAGTGTGAGCGGCCATCTGCTGAGGCCGACTGGGGTTCAAGGAGACAGAAGCAGAGATACAAAAAGCAGCTGTAAAAGGCGGCCCTGTCCAGGAAACACACAGCCAGGCAGACGAGCTCCGAGCCAGCTCCCATGCCAGAGGACGAAGAGAGCAAGTCTAACCAGTCACTGTCAGAGAAACAGGACTACACTGAAAAACAGGCCGATCTCTAACATCTATAAACAAAGGTGTTTATAGCAGCAGCAGAATACTTGGATATCTAAACCGTGCAGGGCCTTGGCTCTGGAGGATTGGGCTCAGTATACACCAACCTGGAAAGATCGACTGACTTTAGATCTGGCGCGTTCAGGTAAAAGAGGTAAAGCACCGTTTGATCAGTCACATCCAAACATGCAGAGCTGCAGATTTCTACCAAATCAAGCTGTTATCCTGAAGGGATCAGAGTCAGAGATGGTCAGACTGAGAGCCACAGAGCTGCAGCAGGAACAAAGTTCAGAGCAAGCAGAGTCGGCTTTAGCATGTACTGTAGCGGCATCAGTTTTGATCACATTCACTCAGGAGGAGGACCTATCCACACTTATTGTCCAGCTGTCAGGGACAGATGCCTGTTTATCAGACCATGTCTTCACAGAACCAATCACAGCCGGCCCTGCCTGGACGCTGTGATTTCCTGGAAGAGGATGGGAATCTGTGTGGAAACCACAGCATACTTTGTTCTGTTCCTCTAGGAACAGCATATAAAAGATGTTTTCAAAGCAAACACATTAGCTCTGATCAGCTCTGTGATATGGAAGGTTTTTGCTGTTCCAGCAGCTTTAAATCTAAAGGGACACTAAGAAATGTCTGATCTGACTTTGTCTGTTTTACAGGAAGGGAGGAGTGTTGGAAAGGATTTCTGTTTAGCTTATCAGACCCGACCTCACAGAGCTGGACTGAGACCAACAGGTGGGTGCAGCTTTAAAATGTCAGAAGTTTGTGTTTAAAACTCATTGCAGTTCTCCGTTCATGTCTGGATCTCTGAACGCAGATCACTTACGGAGAAAGACAATGCATGGCTCAGAGAAACCTGGATGAGCTAATTCAAATATTTAGAGTTTTATATAGACTTTTATATTTAGGCAAATAGAAAATAACAGCAGCTGAATTAACTGTTCAGGAATGATTCATTTTGCTTCACTGATAAAAACATCTCTGATGAATTTTCAATTAAATTCTTCTGTTCTTATTATTTTTGGCAGATTATTGTTAAATTATAGAACTACGGTTATTGGACATCTTTCGTGAGAACCCAGAGCTGATGAGCAACACGCCAACATGTTGAAATGTTTTACTTCCTCCTCCTGCTATAATGATTCCCACAGTGTGATGAAAAAATAAGCAAAGTTTATGATGAGGTAAAAAAAAAAAAAAAAGAATAAAAAAAAGATAGAATAATAAAATGAGGCGCTAGCTACAAAAGCTACAAGCTAGAGTAGAGTGGAAAAATAAATAACAGAAGGTTTGCTTTTAAAAAATAAAAGCAGATGGTTTGTAACTGGAGACTTGCATTAAAATAAGATCCAGCAGGATCACTTAAGACTTAAGAGACTTAGACAGGTTTTATTTTGTCATTTTGTACAAACAAGTGTAAACAAAAGAAATTTCGTTTAGTAGAACTCTCTAGACTTTTCATTTTTTAAAGTGCAGCCTTTATTAAGGTAAGCAGCAGTGATAAAAACACTGTGATGAAAAAAAGGTATGTAAACATACGACTGTATAGTTACAGTTCCAACATTCAGGTTTTTTTTTTTTTTATAACCCATTTTAAATAACATTTAACAGCCTAATGGGAGAAGGTTACGTTCAAGCAAAGAAAGGTTGGTGAAATTGGAGCAGTAAGAAAATATGCTTTTACTGATCCTCCATTTTTTTTATCATTTTTATTTAGATTTATCAGCGACCGATCCAGATAAAAAAAAAAAAAAAGCCAAACCCCCCAGCAGAACAGTTAACTAGCACACTATAAAACCAACACGAAACCAAACATGTCAAAACTAAGAAAATTTATAACGCATCAATTTCCATTCAGTCATATTTAGGGACCTAGTTTGTTCACATGTATGGGGTGTATAGGAACTGGACCCAGCAGCTAGCTTGAGGTAAACCCTTCCTTCTAAATAATGAAAGATCTCTGATTTGACGTTTGGTAGGACTTAGATTATTGATGCTGTAGCCTAAGAACTGCCTCCATCATTTAGCCCCGTGATTTAAATAAACAATTTGTTAAGAAGAGGATCACATCCTAGTGATTTAAATAAACTGAATTGAATTGAATTGATTTAGAGCAGTGGTTCTCAAACTTTTTTTTAGTGATGTACCCCCTTAAAAATATATTTTTAGTCAGGTACCCCCTGACACAGGCAAAACATTTTTGGAAGAAAAAAGAGGTACAGTGCTGTAAAATCACTGTCTTATTTATCAAAGCCAAACAACGGATCCATACTCCAACCATTGCATGTAAAAAAAAAAAAAAGAAAGAAAAACAGAAGACGGTGACCACCAGGAAGACATAACACCAGTCAAAATTGAAATATGCTGCTAACGCTGTTAATTTATATTGGTCTCTGTAATGGTACAAAATTGAATATTTACATAAATAACTAAAATGTTTTCACAGAAATAAATCTATAACTTAATTATAAATAAATTATATTTTGTTTACAAAATAAATTTACTTAAATAAAGATTTGCTTACAAAAAAATAAAGGTTACATCTTTTAGGATAAAAAAATAAGATTGCACTTGAATCACTTTGCATTGAAGCTGCTGCAGGATTTCCAGCTGATAGCGTTTTCAGTGAAAAACATGTTAACGACATGGGGGGGGGGGGGGGCGGGGGGGGGGGGGGGGGGGTTGGGGTCAGAGATCGTGGACGTAAATCCCATTAAAGCATACTTCTCCATGTACATTCTGTACTTCGTTGGCTCTGGTTTTGCCTTCTTTTTAACTTCATCTGCACTTTCAGCAGCGTTGCTGCTATGCTTTAGCCACGTCTCCATAGTTACAGCGTAACCATGTTAACGACAGGTCGTTGACAAGTGCGCTAGGTCCGTGGGTCAAACTAACTTGGTGGGGGGTCCGTTTTATTTTAAAGGATATTGAAACTAAATACTGAATATAAAATGCAGTGCATGAACACACATTTATATTCTATCAAACTTTTTACAGAATAATTTCTCCCAAGACTTATTATGAGGAGCCTACTAAAATATATTTTGAAAAGCTTCACATACCCCCTGCAGTACCTCCACGTACCCCCAGGGGTACGCGTACCCCCATTTGAGAATCACTGATTTAGAGCATTGGGCTTGGGTCCCGGAGGCTCTGAGTTGAAGCCCCACACACTCCCACAGGCTGCCACTCTGGGTCCCTGAGCAAGACCCTAACCCCAGGCTGCTCCCCGGGTGCCGCACAGAGGCAGCCCACCGCTCCCCAAGGGGAAGGGTTAAATGCAGAGAGTGAATTTCCTCATTGTGGGACAATAAAGGGATTTAGATTTTACATTCAAGTCTTTTTTCTCAGATGTCCCAGTTCAAACTACCATATGAATATCAGTGTTGATGGTTTGATTCCTGTGAAGGAAATTATTCACCATGAACATCTAAGAGCTACATTTTTTCAGGAGACTCTTCACTGGACTTTTGTACCAGATTTTAATCCTTGTGAGAAACTTTCCCTGAATCAGAATCTGAGTAAAACGTTCAATAACTGAAACCAGCTTATTTCCAGCATGCTGGAAATAAGCTGGTTTCACTGCTGAAGCTTTGCCATAAGAATCCAAAGCAGTTTAATAAAAGACAAGCTCACAATCACCGCTCTCATAGAGACCTTTAATATGACGGGGATTTGATTCATTTTAGCCTTTGGATTAATTCACTTTTAAGAAAACAAACTTCCTGTTCAAATTAAGCATTTGAACTAAAGTTGAGTGTTTCTAATCAAAGCGATGATTCGTCTGAACAATCAAGGCTGACTTTGATTTTCTACACTGATGCAGATGGGATGATTAAATGTCTTAATCTGAATAGAGTGACAGACCTTTGCTGTAGTTAAAGTTGATACTGCGACCCAGGGGGGGTTTGGGCAGAGACAGGGGGGTCTCCTCAGTGGGCAGATCCAGGAAGTTGTACTCCACAAACAGCCGTATCACGCTGTCGTCCCGCGCCAGCCGGGACCGCGGCGCCAGGCTCAGAGAGACCACCTCCACCCGGACTCGCTCAGAAAGCTGCAGACCAGGACATCTTTAATCAGCCTTTCACTGATTCAGAGGCAGGATAGAAACAAGTCAGTAAACTATCGTCGTCTTCTTATTTATCCGACCGGACAGCGGGAGAGGGGAGTCCCTGCAGAGACTGCTGCCCCGCAACCCGGTCACTACACTAATGTAGTCTAGACATAGGAAGGACCCAGAGACAGCTTTAGTCTGGGTGGTTTACTTACCACAAACAGAAAATAAAATATATGTACAAATAACATCTGCTTCTTGAATTGAGAGGAAAGACCCTCAGACACATAGGCAGATCTACTGGGGTGGCAAGGGTGGCATTTGCCACCCTTGCCACCCCTGCTGCCACCCCAGTTGGCGGTAGGGGTGGCGAGGCTTATAAATTATGGATCATTTGAGAATTACGACCGCTAATTTCTAATGTCGGACTGCAGTGAATGCAGCACGAGATGACGCGAGAGCGACTGAGACTGATTGTTTTGAAAACCTAATGGGGCAAAGCGAGGGAGCCAGGGGTGATGGGGAGAGGAGACACGGGATGAAACAGGTAAAAACTGATTAACTATCTATCGAGAAATTAAATCATAATGAAAGCACAATGTTGCTAGCATAGCTGCAATGCTGATTTTGAGATGATAAAATCAGGTTGCAGAACATTATTTCTCTATCTATGATGTTAGTTAGGCCTGACGTCTCAGGCTCATAAAGACATATTTGCGGTCAACTATGACAGAAAAGAGACGATCAAGTTTGATTGAACTCAGCATTGAATCAAAACGCACAAAGGCATTGGATCTAAATAATTTGCTGAGCAACATGGAAATCACTGCATTCAGCTGTAATAGTCATGTAAACTTTATGTTATGCTCTCTGGTGAACCTTTACAGAGCTGTTACATTTTGTTTTGGCACCTGAGAAAATCTGATATTTCCTTTAATAAAACCAAAAGTGTTAAAAGTTAAAAATGTGATACTGGTGTGAATCCTGCTTAATATGAAGCAGTGTTGTTGTTTCTTTTTTTGTATATATAATATGAAACTATCCAGAAATGACCCGTATGAACCTACTCACAAGCAAAATGTATTTTTATGTTGCTTCTTTTCAGATTTGTGGAGATTTTGATGTAACATACAGAACCCGCCTTTTTGTTGATTTGTTGATACAGCAGTATGGAGGACCAACTCTGCCATATTTAAAAATAAATACAGAAATAAATAAATGCTCAATAAATAAATAAGCATACAATTGCCACCAAAAATACAAACAACAAATAAATGTAAGTAGAAATTAAATTATACAGCTAGTCATAAAGGTATATAACTCTTTTTATTTCTTTGCCTTTTTAATATTTACCCTATTTATTTTTTTGTCATTTATTATCTTCAACTTAATTTTTTAATTACTTATATTTTTAAGTATTTATTTATGTGCATGTTATAATATTTTTGTCTGTTTTATTCTTCCTTTGTATTTTTTTACCCTAGTTATTTCTTCGCCGCTATTTCTTTCTGCCTGCCCTTTTAACATTTCTGTCTGCCATTATAATATAATTTCTAATTACATTTATTTGTTGATTGTATTTTTGGTGGCAATTAATTGTATGCTTATATATTAATTGAGCATTTATTTATTTCTGTATTTATTTTTAAATATGGCAGAGTTGGTCCTCCATATACAGCTCTATCTACAGCATATTTACATGCATGAAATGTCCCTTTCATGTTGCCTTAACTGCTGTATGTCAAGTTACTGAGGAACAAATGGGGTAAATGTGTGTTCAGAGTAAACATTACATAGATGTCCAGTACCTTGTTTGGGGCCTTGACCCATTTATTTCTACTGTGTAGTTCTGCTCACTTTAGTACAGCTCAGTCCATAGATCTCTGATGGGAAACTTTTTCTTTCTATAGTTTCTTCTTGTGCAAATGCTGCAAAGCTGCCTCTCTGACAGTCAATCTCACACATCTACTACTCAGTACCTGTGTCTCACCTTAATACCTTTCCTGTCATAAGGCCCCTCTAGAAGTAGTGTTATCATTCTTCTATCTCCTATTAAGTGAGATCACATTGTGCGATGTATTATTAATATGAACTGTTTCACATGAAACACTAGTACTGTACATACTATTCTCACCAAACTGTGATAACTGTGATTAAATTCAGTGTAAACAAATGCCATATGTTGCCACCCCTAAAAAATTCCTGCCCCCCTCTTGCCACCCCATAAATATTTTTCTAGATCCGCCCCTGCTCAGACACCTTTGGCTTAAACCCTGTGAGGCGTTCGCTGACCTTTCTCCCTGAGGCCTGTCCCTGAACGATGCAGTCGTCGCTGTCGGACTGTGTGGACTCTCTCTGAGGGCCCGCAGATGCTAGACCTTCCTCCACATCTGGAACAACAGAGGTAAAACAACATGATGTTATGTAAAATAAAACTAGGTCAGTGTGACGCTTTAGATGAATATCCAACTAAAGCAGAAGTTTTCCTTAGTGACCCTGTTTGATTTAAAGACAGTTTCACACGAAGTTAAATTTCTGCCTGACAAAAACACACAAAAGTAAATCACTTATAGCCTCAAAGCTATTAGATTTAAGAAGAAACTTTTGGTACCTCTGTAAAGGTAAGATGTCATAGAATGGTTTTCTGGTGTCAGCACCATTGTAGCTTTGACCCTGTCTGAAATATTAGGGACAAAATACAAAATATTTAGCATTTTTTGAACCTCGCCAAAATTTTCTTTGAAATAAACATTGCAAAACACTACCAAAATATTATTTATAGCACAAAAAAGTAGTACAGACTTTTAAATCTAAATGTTGTGTAAAAATATACCAAATTTGGACTCAATCATATGAATCATATTTATTTTAGAATGGTATTAGTGAGAAATTTCTTAGGCGGAGAGGCCATTTTGGCACATTTATCCAAAAATGTCACCAAACTGTGCCAAATGTGTTTTTTACATCAATACTGGGGGTTTATTAAAATTACGAGGTCATGTAGCAGCTGGACCCGCCGGTGGGTCCGTAGGGTTCTAGGGGTTAAACAATTACAATGAATTTTGACCAGATTAACAGACATAGAAACTGCTTAGAAACACATTCAGCTCTCTGTTGGAGGATCTCATGTAGATTTTGAGTTCCACCCATCCGCCCTTCAGCCTGTTATCCACTCAGACCAGAGCTGAGTCATGTGATTTCCTATAGAGGTGGCCTCCAGCTGTCTGATCACCCTTTGAAGGCGGTTATTCTCAGGTGTGTTTTTTTTTCCACCCTATAAAACGCAGCATTACAGGATAGCAGCCAATGGTTCAATATGACATTTTAAAGATTTACCCCTTAACGCTTAAATTTATATTATGTAGTTTTATTTTGATCATTTGTATTTTTGCTGTCGGATGTTTTGAGTCGGATGTTAGATAATTGAGATTATTCATTTTAACGTTGCCCAAATTAGTGGTTTAAATTTAGGTCTGAAGCTAATTAGCGTTGCTAGGCATCTAAGGAACAAAACATTTTCAGCATCAGTATTTTGACTATCAAACAATCAAGCAGGAGTTTTTTTTAATAATCTAAGTGTTATAATAATCTAAACTGACCTAATTCACTGAAGGTCGACTCAATACAGTCCCAGGAGATGCTAGGCCTTTGTGCTAAAAAAGTGGAAGAATTTGATCTAGTATGTGTTTTCAAACAGTCTTTGCATTTTCATTTTCAGGGAGTTTTCTGCTGTCTTCCCATAAGCTGCTGCACCTTTCTTCGCCATGTCAGATCAGTGTTAGAAATGTAAAATAGACATTTGCTTTTTGGTAATAATTGCTTTTTATGGTCTCACAGTATTTATAATTCTGCTAAATATAAAAAAGCCCTTTCCTGTTTGGTGCTAGGAGCTTTTATCTTCATGTTTCATAAATCTATATTTTTATTATTGACAATCATTTTAAAATCATTTAAATGTATTAATAGTTTAGCATAATGAAAATAAATGCATTTAATAAACATTTTCTAGAATAACACTTAAACTATACATATTACTAATTATAATAATCTTCATTCCTTAATTATCTAGTGAGGATAATACCGCTAAAACCCAAAATAAGAAATACATTTTATGATTTGTTCAGATGTGTCCTCTCACATCATGGTGCATATTTGCTCTTACATGGATCATGTTTAGTTCATTATTCCAACAACAAAATTTTATGAAAGCCTATTTTATAGATTCCTTGGTACAACAGGCTTCTGAATAAACAAACATGGCGTATTATACATCAGCCATGTTGGCTGTAGTTAGACTGGAACTAGGATGGAGCTTATTAACTTTGCCTATCCATTAGGGCAGGCATCGCCAAAGTCAATCCTGGAGGGCCGCTGTCCTGCAAGTTGAGCAAAAGCCTGTGAATCAGCTTGTAATTAAAATCAGCTGTGATGGAGCAAGGAAACCTCTAAAACCTGCAGGACAGGGGGTCTTGAGGACCGACTTTGGGGATGCCTGCATTAGGGGGTCTTATTGGCCTGACTTCTTGAATCATAGTAAAGCCTTTCAGGAGCTTTCCAGTTGAAATATCTTCCTGATTCCTGAATTATTTGGAAAATTAGGCTCCACTGCCATCAGCTGCCTTTATTCTTAGGGCCCAGTCACACCTTGCCTAGTTAGCCAGCGTATGCCTGACGTCCCAGAATCTCCAAAATCTCTGGCATAAGCTTAACTTTCTATGTATTTTTTCAATTTTGGGCGTATACATAGAGTGTTCATAACAAGTCCAGAACTTATGTCCAACGACAGCCTAACTTATGCATGACACACAGCAGCGTAAAGCCCATGAAATGATGCACAAGTCCGTGTCCTGAGGGGGGCAGCATTGTGCCCGGAGGCACCGGCCTGCGTAAAAAGATGTCTTTGATATTAACCTAGCTGCTGTTAACCGCCAACCCAATAAAAAAAAGAAAGAAAAAGAAAGAAAGAAAGAAGGTTTGCAGTCGCAGCAAAATTCAGCGTCATTTCTGCGAGGAAGTTTGTTGGTTGTTGGCGTGAACGCAGGGAGGATCCATCACACTCACCTTCTTGCTCGCCCTATGATGGGGATGCAGTTTGGAGGAGAACTGACAGTGTCCTCTTGTGAACCTCCTTTTATTCAAAAACGCTGCCAATACACCATTATAGAGTAGCTGTACGTTAGAAACATGTTCCGCGGTCATCTGGAACACGTCAGATACGTGGATATGTGTTGAAGATTCGTTTTTGATAAGTTATGCACAAGTTACTCATAGGGTTTGTACGTGCTGTATGTGGACATGTGCCTGTGTGTTCCAGCAGCTTTTAGCGTGCTCACAACTTATACAATCCTACCCATAACTTATCCAACGTATTACAGCGTTTTTGCCAGATTTTTCGTACGTCAGGCATACACTGTCTAAATCGTCAAGGTGTGACAGGGGCTTGAGCTTCCAGCTTGTGAAACCAGGTAAATCTAATTGCAGACAGATAGAGCTACACAGGAGACTAAGCCATGATGTCTAGGATTATTGCTGCTTTGACATTAAGGATCTCACATACTCAGCAGCACTGATTAAAGTTAGCTTGAGTACATGAAGCCTTTAGAGTATCACTTGCTTTGATCCTGTAGTTTCACTTATAGACCAGGATTTAGAGACTTTTTAGAAGCAAGAATGACCTTCGGGGGTTTTCAACCTAAATTCCATTAAGTAAAAAGCAAGTGAAAACTCCCCCTGTTTTTTAGGTTAATTCTAATATGAACATTCGTTTTAACAAACTCGACCAAACTGTCGTTTAGTCAACAGAAGGCAGCAGGTTAGAGATTTCTCTTCCCCGTTTATCCAGTCAGGTCTGTTTTCCACATTAAATCACCAAACTGCTTCTGCATTTCTTTCAGAACTATTCTGGAACAGTTTCTGCTTTTCTTTCCTTGCAGATGAACTAAATGAGGAAGAAGCAGACTTTATTAGCTGCACTGATCAACTTTCTAACCTTCAGTGATTTCCTCGGTGATGTCAGAGTCGTCAGAGTATGACTGAGCGCTCGCCACCAGCTGCCCCTCAGAAACATGAGACTCTTCCTCATCATCATCAGCATCATCATGGCCGTCTTCTGTTGTACTCTGAGGGGTTCTGGATGCCACCTGCAAGGAAAACTGGGTGAAGTTAGAGAGCAGCTGCTCTGATAAACACCGAGCAGGCAGCCTGGTCTGTTCGTGTGCTTTTTTATTCTTTTTAACAGCAGATCTGTCATTAAAGCTCCACTGTAACTTGATCCAGATAACGGTTTAGTATCAGGGTGAAAAGGAGCTACCTTTTCATGTTCTGCTCTTCATTGCTGAAATATTACCTGGACATCAGGGGTAAAGGTAGTGTTCTGTTTCTCTGATAGACTCTCTGCTGGAGCTCCCTCCTTCACCTGGGAAAGAAACAAAAATGTCCTCATGAGGTAAAGGTCTAAAAGAAAAAGCCTTAACTCAGAGTCAGAGGAGGGAGTTGGAAGAAACGACCAAACCAGACTGGGAAATAAAATTAAAAAATCCATATAAATATATGTGGAACGTCAGAAAAAAATTACCGGAAGATCAAAAACCCATAAATGAATAAAACTAGTTGGTTTGAATATTATTCAGAGTAGAAAAGAACTTCCAAAACCTCCAGTCACTCAATTTATTTTACTGTGTCCATCTTGGCAATAATTGGAGCTCAACTGGAGAACAACAGGCAGACCATGGAAATAAGGCACCATGCTATTATTAATAACTAGCCAGTGTTTTTTATGGTGTTGTAGGTTTGGTGTTTTTTTTTAACCTTTGAGTTAATCTGCAGGCGTTCCTTTGTATTCACTTTGCTTTCCCTCTCAGACGTACCGAGAGGAACTTTTATTTTACTGCCGTTGATAGAAGAACTTAACAAAGAGTCCCAAAAAAAGTTAAAAAACATTCCTCACTGGAGAAAAATCGAAATCTAGAAGTCATTTTTTCTTAACCCCTTGAACCCTACGGACCCACCGGTGGGTCCAGCTGCTACATGACCTCGTAATTTTACCAAACCCCCAGTATTGATGTAAAAAACATATTTGGCACAGTTTGGTGACATTTTTGGATAAATGTGCCAAAATGGCCTCTCCGCCTAAGAAATTTCTCACTAATACCATTCTAAAATAAATATGATTCATCTGATTGAGTCCAAATTTGGTATATTTTTACACAACATTTAGATTTGAAAGTCTGTACTACTTTTTTTGTGCTATAAATAATATTTTGGTAGTGTTTTGCAATGTTTATTTAAGAAAATTTTGGCGAGGTTCAAAAAATGCAAAATATTTTGTATTTTGTCCCTAATATTTCAGGCAGGGTCAAAGCTACAATGGTGCTGACACCAGAAAACCATTCTATGACATCTTACCTTTAAAGAGGTACCAAAAGTTTCTTCTTAAATCTAATAGCTTTGAGGCTATAAGTTATTTACTTTTGTGTGTTTTTGTCAGGCAGAAATTTATTTATACCCCCTTAGGGTGTAAGAGGTTAAAAAAAGTGCATTTGTTCTTGGATTGAGGAGGTAAAAGAGACATTTTGTCAATGGAACAAGACAATTTACACCTAAAATAAGACAACACAATGTCATTGTCTTATTTCAAGTGCATATTATCTAATTATCTTATTTTAAGAGTAAAAATACTCATCCCCTTGGCAAACTATCTAACATACTACTCAAATTAAGGGTAAATACACTCATTTTAGCAAATTTTTTTACTTTTTCTAGATTGTTTTTCCAGTGCTGGACTTTGTTTCCAAGTTTGAAGACGTTTTGCTTCCCATCCTGGATGGGAAGCGAAACGTCTTCAAACTTGGAAACAAAGTCCAGTGGATTGTTTTTTAACTTTTTTTGGAATGACTATGACCTGGACGACTCTTCACCTGCATATTAACAAGGAATCATTTCACATGCAGTTCTTCACTCTTGAGAACACAAGAAATAAAAAACATGAAAGATGATCAATGAACTAAGGAATTAATGCCAAAAAAGGATAAAAGAAATGATCCCATCTTCAGCCTGTTCCATCCATCCTAAATTTAAAATGATTTACTCTCAACAGGCCTGTTAAAGTCTTTTGGGTCATTTTCCCCATAAAGTCAGACTTCTTAATATTCTTAGGAGCATTAAAAAAAAGATATAACATCTGAAAACACAGAAGCTAACTCTTATTCTAGCAGCTCTAGTTCTGCATTAAGCTCCTTTAGGTGTTCTATGCAAACATTTAGAAAAGGTCGTCAGCTAAGGGGGCCTTAACTAATGACTGAGGATTCGCGCGTAGGACCCCTCCCCTGCTGCCTCCATCCAGAACCATCCGTCTCTCAGAGACAGAAAGGAATCCGTCGATCCTGCTGCAGCCTGATTGGCTCCAGAACCGATCCAGACTGTACTCTGCATGCTGCCCCTCCAATCGTTCACCTGCTCCCTGACCACAGGCTGTGCTTTAAACCCCATAACAATCAGAGAGTCTTGCTGGACGTCTGGATCAAAAGCCCACTGTTGGTACTGAACAGGACTCAACCTTTCTCATGGCGAACACTGGAACCACAGGAATTTGATCCTTACAGCTCAACAGCTGGAAAACTAAGGGGAGCCCGGACTGATCTATACATGGGGCTCATTTTCCTCTGCCTGAAATGAGATCTGGTTGTTTTCTCTTCAGGAAGACGGGCATTTATTTAATGTGTCGTACGTGTAAAATTAGTTCGTCCCGTCTGTGATACCTGAGGAGTAAACCTGTAGCTGCCGAGCTGCTGCGGAACAGGAAAACTGGGATGAAGAAAAGCAAACAGAGGAACCAGAAAATACGGGTGGAGCTTTTTTCTCAGCTGACTATTCACCATCAGCGTCACATTTAATGGATTTCCTAGTTTTTATAGGAATTCTGTCCCATAGTTCTCCATGATCAGAGGAAGGATCTAGCCGAACCCAGAGATCGCACCTCATCCTCTGCTGGCGTCACGCCCACAAACGTGACTCTTTTGGCCCCTGCTCCATCCCTGTCCTGAGTCTTCTGTCCTCTGGTTCTGTGCGGCGCCACCTGGTGGTAAGAGATCAGAAGACACTTTCTAGTCTTTTGTAGATGTTGTTCTACTAACAGATGCTGAGGATGAACTTCTGACTTCAGAAGCAGCTGCGGCGTTGAGGTTCTTGAGCTCCTCCTCTTCCTCCTGTAGCTTCTCCTCATCATCTTCCAGATGGTCATCCATCTTTTCCATCTCAGCTTTCCCCTCTTCGAGTTTAGGATCAACCCGCTGACGGGGATGAAGCTGTGACAACAATCCAGACTCCTCAGCTGCCATGTTGACCCCTGGTGAGGGACGGTAGACAAACATCCACCTCAGCATCACCTCTAAGGAGCCAGCAGGTCTCCCCTCAGGATCAGCAAGCTCAAACAGCCCTAAAGGAAAAGGAAGAACAGAGCAACAGCTGGTGACTGAGGTTAGTCTCAGTCAGAACATTCAGGGTGTTTTGGATCAAAGAGGACTTTAGTCTCCAGCTGCCTGATCATCAATCCAATATACTTTGGAGGTTTCCTGATTAGAGATCAATGGATTCAGGTTTTCAGGGGAGGAAGGATTTTCTAAGCTGATATTTCATTTTCCTCCTCCGTTTCCATGATCACAATATCTTACACCAGTACAACAGCTACTTCCTCCCCACAGCCATAACCATCTAGATCAGAGGTCACAGATTAGCGGTCCGGATCTGGACCCGGACCCACCTGCTGGCTAATCCGGACCCAACCTGATTAAAACATTTATAAATTACCGCATGTTGTCCGACGACAGTGTCTTACTTCACTTGCGCCGCTTTTCCTGTTTATATGGTAAAAATTTCCAGAGCACCCGGGACCAGGCTACACATGATACAAATTAGCCAATGAGTGTGGACTGCTGAAAGAAGTGTGGTGAGCTAGTGAAAGAAAAGTGAAATGGTGCTCAAAGGTGACCCTGAACATTTAGAGGATGTTTGGCTAAACCTGCTGCTGTGAAGCAGGATTCTCCACCATGAACAGAATCAAAAATAAATATGGATCCAGGCTCACGAATGAGCACCTTGATATGTGCTTTAGAATGGCTTAGTCTCCATTCAAACCCAGGTTTAAAGCCTTGCAGGGCAGCATAAAGCCCACTGCTCTCATTAAGACAGAAGAAAAGAAAAAAAAAACAAAGAAACAGTCAGTTCAGGTGTTTTATAAAATATGTGAGTCAGGAATTTGTCTTTATACCAAACTGATTGTTGTTCTCTACTTCAAAAAACAATTTAGATTTTAAAATGGGTAAAATTTTTATTTAAAAATGTTATGTATAACATGGATGCATATTTATTTCAGTGTTAAATTCTGTTTAAAGAAACAGATTATAATTAAAAATGTCTCCGGACCTTTATTGGTTGATCATTTTCTTTATTCAGACCCTGCTGAGTTTTAATTGGTTACCTCTGATCTAGAATGTCTCTAACGCCCTCCAATATATGGAAGTGTTGTTTATCCCCTTCTACCTCACCTGAAACCTCCTGACCTCTGGTCAGAGGCAGCAGCGGTACTCTGGCTTTTCCCACATATGTGTCCATCTGCTCCTCCTTGAAGTCGAACAGGTAGAACTGAAGCACCTCAGTCTTCAGGTACCGGTCCAGGTCTCCATCCATCAGAATGGGGTAGGATTTCTGGTCACTGAACTCGGGGTGGCAGCAGTCGTCCACAGTGGCCGTGGGATAATCAGGAAAGTCAAAGAACTTGTAGACGATGTAGGGACTGGGCTGCTGGGCGCTCCTGGACCAAAGGTCTCTGCAACGCTGGACAGTGATGAGGAGCTCATTCCTGCTGGTGCAGGTCAGCTGCAGAAGGCAGATAATGATAAAAATGGGAAGAAACCTGCTGAGCAGAGAAGAATCTTTAACTAGACAGGAATATTAACCAGGAGGAAAGACCCTTTTCACACTGGATGCATGAATGGGTTTTGCCATAAGCAACGATAATCATGTTGGACCTTGGGGTCCATGGGAAATGCTGGCTGTCTAAAGCCTCCGCTCCGCCCTAGAGACACGTCCACAGAGACACATTTGTAGGGACATAAGGAAGGACACCTAGTCTCCTGGGATAAGCTTTCCTGAACTGAACAGCTACCCTGGCTAGGTCTTCAAACTACAGATTCCATTAAAATTTTTTGAACTAGAGATTCTTCACCTTTCCAGCAAAACAATTTGGGTTTTTTGATTTCTTCTGATCTTTTCATGTGTTTACTGTAACTAACCAAGCTAACAAGAAGCTAATGGCAACAATATGGTGGCCAATCTACGTCTGCAGCGGCCCTCTCTCGGCATAGTCGTCTGAGAAGGACCGCCAGCTCTGATGGCGATTTTTGACTCAGCTCTGGAATCAGTTTTGGACGGATTAGATTTGGGGTTTTGGTTGAAACATGAGCAGGAAGAAGCTCTACGCTCATTCATTTTTAAGAAGGACGTATTCACTGTTTTACCGACAGGCTGTTTGTTTACACTCCCCCACCAGCTTTCTGTCGCTCTTACTACATCACAGTCATTTGCTCTCATTGGTCAGAGCGTTGGCCAATAGGAACACACATGGTTTGAAAAACAACTGGTTATTCTCATCAACAATCTTCTAATGTCTCATTCATCTGGGCCAGACTAAATTACACATTTAATCTCACATTTAATTTTGTTTATCATGCTAGGTGAGCGCAGCATATCTCTTTCACCTCTTTATGAAAAATGAGCAAAAAACTCTGATCAGTGCCTCATTAAGCTTACAAACCGTCCCACAGCATTTATTGTTGTTTTTTTGTTTTTTTTTTTTTAAGATATAGATCTAATTATGTTATTATAAGCATATAAACATTCTCTATCTGTTCTGGTTTGAGACTTTTCACAATCTTTCCAATTCAAATGTGGGAAATAGAAGTGGAAAAAAAATCTGCGTAGATCTGCTCAACATGCCTAGTCGGAACCACTCTCTATGCAGACAGTGTGACATGGAAAAGAAATGGATCAGAGATTAATAAGTCGTACGTAACCTTAAAGGCCGTTCAGGCCTGATTTGCAAATATGTATAAAACAATCAAATAAATAAAACCAGTTTATGTCAGAAGTTTTCTGTTGACAGGGTACCTGTGAGCCTTCACTGGGAGACGCCTGGATGAAGCCCACAGCCTTTAGCTTCTGTCGGTACAAACGGATAGTCTCTGTCATGGGAACCCTCAGTTGGAGCCAGTAGTCCAGGGAACCGAAGTTCCGGGCCACCTCATCTCGTCCTGAATAAAATATGAAGAAGGACAGACCAGAACAGGGTGAAGAAGCAGGACAAAGGGGAAGAAGGAGTCATGCTTCCTCAAGAGGAAGATCTAATAAAAAAATTAAAATAAATCAATGACTCAATAAGCTGGGTTTCCTCACATCCACTGATTACAACACGGCTGGATCCTATGATGGCTATTGGATTATAAATTATTCTGAATCTATGTACCGTAATTTTCGGACTATAAGCCGCGACTTTTTCCCCATTTTTCAACCATGCGGCTTATATAACAATGCGGCTTATCTGTGGACTTTTACAGCTAACGGCCATTAGCGTAATACCTAAGTCTATGGATTTTACCATCCACCATGTTGACGTCACATTTGCTTCAACACAAAAGTACGGTAGCCGCACGCTCGCGGGAATGCGGAGCTCCTCCGGAAGCAGACTTCTACCGTGAGTGGTACGAGACAGATCGACAGCGAGAAAGACGGACATTAAACATAAAAAACCTGCGGCTTATAGTCCGGTGCGGCTTGTATATTTACAAATCATGCAATTTAGCTTCTGCGGCTTATATTCAGGTGCGGCTAATATTCCGAAAATTACGGTAATCGCTTTAGAAATAAAATTGAAACTTATTAAAATGTTCAGTTTTGTCTGTTATGACTTTCTATGACTTTTGTTGTTTTCGAAAGTAGGCTGACAGGAAAGGGGGTGTGAGAGAGGGGACCACAGGCCGATTTCGAAGCCGGGTCAGCTGCGTCAAGGACTAAGACCTCCATCATGGGCCGTGTGCGCTAACCACTGCGCCACCTGCACGCCCTACTGTGTGATTGTTAATGTTATGTTGCTGGGTATGCATAATGGGATGAAATGCTAAACTGATGGTACTACAGCTTACACTGGCCAGTGGGGTGGCCAGGGTATCGCACAGCGTGGCCATGGCCACCCCCTGGTGGCTCCACTGGGGGGTCACAAATATCATCACTGTGTGAGTGAATGGGTGAATGTAATGTAACGTGCTTAGGTCACCTGACTATGAGTACGGGCCTTTTATTATTTTCTTTTACTTTATTGGCCAGTGTTAAGCCACTGGTTGACAGTAGAGGCAGGCTTTTCCTCTCAGATTTAGAGATCTTACAAAAGAGATTATTTTCCCATAAATGCGTTCAAACCGACTCATTTAAACAGAATGGGAGTTACATTTTACTTCATGTTTTGTGAAATAAAATGATGCAAAGTGATCTGTATTGAAAAGCGTTTTCACTCACCAACCAAATTGACTGTAGGCAATCACACCTACTGTATATTAACCTCAGAGCTCCCTACTTCTGATGAAACTGAAGAAGCCTCTTGGATGTGAGGAGAAACGTCTTCTAGAGAACTTTACATCCAGTTGCCTACACCGAACCTTTCAACTTGACCCTGACCTAGATAAATACACAGGTATGTCCCTCACCAACCAGTGGGATGCTGCCGAAAACCTTTCCTTCCTGTTCCAGCAGCTGATGCAGCCTGAGCTGAGCTGCCGCCGGCGTCCTCCAGTCCACTCCCAGCGCCTGATGCAGCTCCACCGTGACGGAGCCCCTGTGCCAAAAAAACAGATGGAAAAACAAAATGTCACAGATATTGACAAAATCAAAATAAATCAACAACTAAGTCAAAAAGAAGAGGAGGAGTCTCTCTTTTCCATAATTTATGAGCTGCGACAACAAAAGTTTAATCTCCACCGAGCTTCCAGTAGCTGATCTGAGTGATTTGAAGGTGTAAAAACAAATAAAACCAGCAGTCATCTCCAGGTGTCTGATTTACCTGTGCAGGTAGTCCATGAAGGGGTCGTCCATGCTCACCACGTACTTGGAGGTATAACCGTATCTAGGACAGCGGCCACTCATCACTGGGGTGGAGTGCGGCTCGAACAGGTAAAAGGAGTAGGTGCAGAAGGTAGAGGGATCTTCGTCGTTGAGAACCTTCAGAGCGGAAGGAGACAGTGTGGCTCCGACTATCTGCAGCTCCAGGAGGTTCTCTCCACGCTCCAGATTGACGACCTCATCCAAGCACCCCGACTCATCTTCCCCCGTCAGCTCTGCCTTGAAGACTTGAGTCTTGGTGCCGTAAGCAGCGTCTCTGAGCTGATCTGGGAAGCAGAAGGAAATCTTCAGATGAAGATAATGGAGGCTTTGAGAGGACAAACTATCATCCAAAATCAATTATTTGGAGATGAGGACAGAAAGGCTGATCTCAGTGAATGACGACTAAAATTGGTCTAAAAAGTTAGAAATCTAACCAGACATGAAGAGATGAGCTGTAAGAGGGCAACCAGATGATGTACTTCTAATGTAAGGGTCAAAGGTCACGCAGTGTTGCTTTAATTTAGCTGATTTTCCTCATAACAAACATTTCTTAATCTATTTTGAAATCTATAACCAGTTATTTTCTCTCAATCGTTGGTTTCTTGTATTAAATCAATCACAGATCATTGATTGGACAGTGTTGTTTTTGACAGCCATCTTAGATTTAGTCTAATTATTATTAGTTTTAGAAAGTCCCATTTTAGTCATTAAGATATGTGATAATTTTAGTCGGTTTTAGTCGACTAGAACTTAAAAAAGTTTAAGTCTAGTTTCAGTTTGCAAAAATGTTAACTTTTACAATTTTGAATAACAAGCAGATTCTTTACCAGACTGACAGCTCTAGCCTAGATACTACAGTTGCTGGTATAGAATGCCATGCAGTTCATCGTGCTGTTGGGCAGAAAACTTTGATTTATAGAATTCAAATGAACTTTTTCATGAATTAATGCCCTACTTTATATAAAAGTTTCTCACAAAAGTTGTGAAAAGAGTAGATTTAGCTCAACACATAATATTGGTTAATGTCGCGACAGAAAAGCTAACAAGATGTACGATAAAGGAATAGTTTTAGACATACAAGGTTTCCATCCCAGAGCAAACTTTTCCTGATCTACTTTGAATTATGCATTACACACAGATCAATAAAATCTTCATTACTCCAAAAAAGCAAAGAACAAAAAACATTCCTTTTCCCCTTAAATACTTTAACCCCCTTTGCTCAGAGGTCAAAGTAGATTTAAATTCACTGGGTTTTGATATAAAAAAAATTACCTACATAATTGCGTTGTAATGCCATGGCAATCAAGACCTAAACTCAATGAATATGCCAACTAAAATGTTGAAATTTTCAAAGGAAACATAGAAAATGTTTTAATGACAATACAAGGAAACATTTATATCATATTTCTATCATATTTCTATAGATAGAAACGAGAACTATGAGAGAGAAACATTCAAAGATCTATGTAGCTTTTCATCAGGCACATTATCCAAAAATAAACACTATGCAATGAAATATTGTATTTGGATATAATTTAGGGATTCCTTTTGGTAGAAATTAAAGAATGTTTAGTATCACCTCTTGTGAGCTGGAAGAAATAATATTTTAATAGTTAGACTAAAGGTTTTTTTACGCTTTGAAGAGGATGATCAGTGACATGTAGTTTATTAAGTAGCGAGAGCAGGAAGAGCCATGCTGCTGAGAGCGAACCATCAGAGTGGAGCGTGAAGCACAGACTCGGTTTTACGCGCGCAAAGACATATTTCTGCACAAGCACAGATGGAAGATCAGAGAAGAGTTTGTCAGAGTTGAACATGCGGTACCGGACCATTATGGGTTATTTTCTCCCCTGATGCTGCTGCCATGATCCATCTGTGGTCATGCAGAATCTGCACCGCTGCACGCCAGGTGAGCTGCGTGACCAAACAGGACGCAGCAGCACAGCTGACACTGCTCAACTTGTCTAACAGATTAAAGCCCAATGATGCATTTTAAATGTCGGACCAACCACCCGCAAATGTTTATTTAGTCTCATCTCCTTGACGAAAACTCAAACCTATGACTATTCATGCTTTGTCATCAAAGATCCATGCTTAGCTCCCCAGTTTTCGTTATCGTCATGAAAAAAATTAGCGTCTCTGAAATAATTTTGTCATCGTCAACAAAATCAACACAGTGATTGGATCTGCGTCGCCCCTAGCAACAGGGTTAACACTCTCTGGTTTAGGGCACTTTAAGGATCTCTGTGATTCCTGATGAGATGTGGAATTTTCAGATATTTCTGACGGGGTTTATCTACAGAAGTACATCAGGCTCCAGGTAGATATTTAGATAAATACCTTCCAGCTTGGAGATCCTGGCAGCTCTGGCATCCAGCAGCTGAGCCTGACGCGCCAGCGTCTGCTCAAACTCAGCTTTGTCACTGCTCATCTTCCTCAAAGCGGCTTCCAGCTCCACCTGGACACCAGCAGGACAGAGAGCAGACAAACTTTTTCAGCAGGTGAGAAAAGATAAATCTGTTTCCTGGTGGCCGTGAATTTTCTCCACCTTGTAGTCTTTACTGATCCGGCTCTCCATGTTTAGGAGGTTTCTGGTCTTCTCCAGTTCCTGGATAGTTTCAGCGTGAGCGGCTCTCAGCTCTCTGACGGAGCTCCCGTCCTCGTCCACCTCCGCCATGAAGCTCAGATCTCCGCTTTTCTGGGACTTCCGCTTCTGAGAAAAGATCTGGACGTTATTTTCCTCATGGGAGGCCATGCGTCTGCAAGGTGATGCTGGATGTTTTACTGACTTTAATCAGCAGCAGGGCCTCTGTGAGTTCAGCCGCGCTGTAGTCCTTCTCCTTAAAGAACACAGATAGGAACATAAGGCTGGCTTATTTACCATGTGAAAACTCCAGCTTGGAGGAGCTGCTCACCCTGCCGTAGAACTTCAGACGCTCCTTCAGCTCCTCTACTTCTTGCTTCTGTTCCAGGAACTTCATCTGAAGCTTCTGATTCTCTTCTGTCAGCTGCTGGTTTTTATCTGAAACGATCAAAGGCGTGATGATTTCCATCAGGTCGGACCAATTCACACTGGTGAACAGGTGTGACCGAGGCGGTGCCTGCTGGCACCAAAGGGCCCTTCAGGACCACATGGGGCACTCAGCACCTTCTGAAAACAGAACAACTCAGCAGTGGGCTAACCCTGAAATCTCACAACCTCCATAACCGACCCGCTCCAGACCGCCTGCGCGAAGGAAAGCCTACAGCCTCCGACTTCCTCTGAGCTTGAGGAGAGCATGTGTGATATTATTATTAAATTCAAATGAGCAAAACATGCGGTAATGAATGTTTAATTTAATGTGACAAATTAAAAAAAAGTCCCCATCAGCATCTAGCATATGTGCAGTTTCTGACCCATTTTCTCTTTGTTGTGGATTTTTGTAACAGGGATCACATAACATTGGCTTGTATGAACTATGTTTGTTCTCCACTTCCAAACCCAGCATCTCTTCATCCATGCCCGCGATTAGAGGTTTGTTTTGAAGTTTTCAGATGCGCCCTTGGAAGTTGTTGTGAACAAATTTTATTAAATTTTTAGGCCTCTCAGTATAAAATAAATAAGACGAGATCAAGACGAGAAATCTGCTTCCTGATATGCAAGGGCGTAGGAATATGTTTACAATTGGGGGGACACATGTCGGAAATCTGAGATTCGTAAATATTCAACAGAAACATATCTTAAGTACGCTACTTAAAAAAAAGGCTATTTAATCTTTTACTTTATTCCTTTATAAATGTGTTTGCAAAAATAATGCATTTAAAATGTACATAATGCATTTGTTCATAAGATGTGAGCATATCACCAAACAAAATGACTGGAGTCTTTTATTAAGCAAAGGGAGATGTCTTTCAAGGGCTTCAGCCCTTGGCATATTTAGTGTCTGCATACGCACTAGAAAATCAAAACAATTCAGTAGGCCACACAAGTGCAAAGTTTGATATGTTTTATTTTGTCAAACTTGCAATAATGGTCAAAAATGAATTTATATAGGTTGACTGACAGAGGGAGCTGACGGTGTGTTGAAGAATTATGGACAGGGCGCTTTGAAGCATCTGGTTCAAAAACGCATTATCAACCTTTGGTAGAAATCCATCCATCCTTCCATTTTCTGTACACCCTGTCCCTTAGTGGGGTCGGGAGGTGCTGGTGCGGGGTCCACCCTAGACAGGTGGCCAGTCTGTCCAGACCTTTGGTAGAAATGGCGCCTTTAATTCCAGTTTGCAGTACAGAACAGAGAAAACTACAGAGTTGTCAATGTTGTGTTAATCTGTTTATAGTCTAAAAAGAGGAGCCAGCAGTTTGAGGAAATAAAGGTGCAGAAGTTAATTAGTTGGTTAATTAGTGGTTGTGCAGCAGTCCGCTGCACGACCAATGCGACCGCCGCTGCTAAGAATTAAAATTAATTCTCCCTGTGGTTAACTAACGATCAGGAGCGCGGCAGGTATAACATCTGTCCATTTCGGCGAATCAAAACCATGCAAAACATAAAAAATCCTCGTAAAACTCACGCCCAGACCGGGCTAATTTCAACACAAGTTGTGTTAGGTGACTGTTACTCACACTGACGTTTCTCTTTTAAAAAAATCTGAGTAAGTCCTACTGCTGTTTCAGCCTTTTAGTTGGTGGTGGCATTGTACTGAAATGAGATATAAAAAAAAATATATAAAAAAAACATTTTGGCTAGCGTGGCAAACGTCTAGAGAAAGTTAGCAGTTAAATGTTGGATGAGTGATCAGCCCAAGACTACGGAAGAGGATTAGGGCCACTGGAAAAAAAAAAAAGTTAAGTGATTTTTACATTTTATTTCAGTTTAATACGGGAAAAAAGTCAGAATTCTGACTTTTATTTTCAGAATTAAGACTTTTTTTCTCAGAATTTTGGATCTTAATGTAGATGGGCACCATGAAGGCAGAGATGTGGAGCACTCAGCTTCACTGACAAAGATGTGAGTTGTTTGAGATGGCCAGTGACACATTGGTGGAAAATGACAGAATTAGGCAACTTTTTACGTGCCCGAGGGGTCCCCTCATTAATGGAGGAGCAGAAGGTCATTAAAACAAGAGAGCTAGTCTCTAAAAGAGACATGGCTATGGCTTGATGCTAACATGTTTGTTGTTAAACATACTTTTGTTATATTACATTTGTGTTGTGTTTTCCAAATAGTGTAGAAAATTAATGGTGGGTTTATAATGTTTACCTTTTATGAGCAGGACAGGAAGCAGAGAAGTGTAGCATTACCTCCAACTAGTTAAACTCATAATTATGAAGTTATTCAACAAATTTCTCAAGTAAAAAAGTGCAACTTTTTTATTTATTTATTTTATTTTTTTTACCAGATTTGTGGATTAATTTCAAAATTATGTATTCCTTCCAAATTTCCAAATCTGAAGAATTTTTTAAAACAATATCTACATTATTTAACATTTAGTTTATGTTTTAGCAGTACTTCCTGTTATATTTCTTTATACGTATATTTTACATTTTCTTGCACAGCAAGCTCAGCAGATTTGAAATTGTGTGCTTGTGTAAACACTAGTCAATCTTTACTCTAAACATATATTCTGGTTATTTTTTAGGTAGACCTTCTTGTTTTTATATATCTGTATAGCCCCCCCTCCCCCCACCAAAAAAAACTGTAAACTGATTAGAAATATTAATCATCTGTCAGATTTCTGAGAAAAAAGTCAGAATTCTGAGATTAAAGTCAGAAATCTGGGAAAAAAAGTCAGAAAAAAAAGTCAGAATTCTGAGATTAAAGTCAGAATTCTGAGAAAAGTCAGAATTCTGACTTTTTCCCCCATGTTAAACTAAAAAAAATTAAAAATCAGTTAAATTTTTTCAGTGGCCCTAATCCTCTTCCTACAAGACTAAGATGCCTAAACCAAAAAGATTCAGTTTCTATATATGAAAGTGAACTGACAACAAGACGTTATAAATAAGCAATATTCATAGCAGCATTCCCGACAGACCATTTTACCTCATTAACAAGTTTCTGACTTTCTGTATCGCTGTTTCCCTCTGAGTGCTCAAACACTCAACAGTTCACAGAGGGGAGGGGGAGTACAGAGACGTAACGCTATGCTGCGCCTTCAAAATAAAAGCACGATAGTTAAAAAATTGTCAAAATCTAATATTTTGCGGTACAATTTTTGGGGGGGACATATCCACCTGGCTTTTATATTGGGGGGGACATGTCCCCCCCGTCCCCCCGCTTCCTACGCCGCTGCTGATATGTTGAAGTACCAACAGTTTACATCCAATCATTTAATTACATGTTTTGTTTTGTGGAATATATAAGAATAAATCTCTAATTTTAGTTACAGTGGGGGAAATAAGTATTTGACCCCTTGCTGATTTTGCAGGTTTGCCCTCTTACAAAGAATGCAACAATCTATAATTTTAATCATATGTACATTCTAACAGTGAAAGACAGAATCCCAAAGAAAATTCCAGAATATCACATCATATGAATTTATTAAAACTGATAACCATCTGATGAGGAAAAACAAGTATTTGACCCCCTGGACAAACAGCATGTTAATATTTTGTAGAAAAGCCATTTTTGACCAGCACAGATGTCAAACGGTTTTTATAGTTGGTGAAAAGGTTTGTGCACATTTTGGCAGGGATATTGGCCCACTCCTCCCTGCAGACAGCCTCCAAATCATTCAGGTTCCCAGGTTGTCGCCTGGCAACTCAAATTTTAAGCTCCCTCCAAAGACTTTCAATTGGATTCAGGTCTGGAGACTGGCTAGGGCACTCCAGAACCTTGATGTGCTTCTTCTTCAGCAACTCTTTTGTTGCTTTGGCGGTGTGCTTAGGGTCGTTGTCGTGCTGAAACACCCATCCTCCACCCATCTTCAGCTCTCTCACTGAGGGAAGGAGATGTTGTTCCAGAATTCCACGATACATGGCCCCGTCCATCCTCCCCTTAATACCATGGAGTTGTCCCGTCCCCTTGGTTGAAAAGCACCCCCAAAGCATGATGTTGCCATCACCATGCTTGACGGTGGGGATGGTGTTCTTTGGGTTGTACTCAGTGTCTCAGTACTCAGTGTCTCTATCAATGAAAATGCCCTTTTGAAACTCGTTTTTTTTTTTTTTATTATTATTAATATTATTAAGATTTTACTGAGGTCGGTTTTGAAATGATCTTTTGAAAACCTGAGCCATTAAAAACGACTGAAACAATGCCCCGAAATGACCGACCTACTTGCGCACACCCGACCAGCCTCTCTCTCTTCCTTTGTCACGTGAACTCGCTCGGTCGCCCGCAGGGCATGCCAGATGCGCAGCATCATAGCAGTTTTCAGATAGCAGGAACGGTCGCTGACAGGCTGCTTCTCCCGTGCCCCATTAGCCAGGTAATATACAGATCAAGCTAAATCATTTTGTTGTGCATTAAAATGTCTCATTCAGCAGCACCAAACACGCATTTTGCCGACTGGTCACCAGATAAACTAGTTGTCTCCTTGTAAGATGCTATTTTACTTTTTATATTTTATATCCATATTTTTATCTTAAGTGTATACATTAGTCTATTTTATTGCATGACGTATACCCACAGTTTTTAGATATTTTTATAATTTTATTTACCTATTCCATATTATATGTTTCATGTTGCACGATTGTACCATAAAAAAATCCTAGTTTGTGAACTCCTTCACTAACAATGGCAATAAACCTGATTCTGATTCTGAAAGTTTTACACTGTAGCCCAAGTCAATGACAGATAACGTGAGGACGACCACATAGGCTACAAATAATTTTGGTAGAGTTTGCAATTGCAAATCTACGGACGAGGATTAGGGCCACTGAAAAAAAAAAAAATAAGTTAACTGATTTTTAAATTTTATTTCAGTTTAGTATGGGAAAAAAGTCAGAATGCTGACTTTAATCTCATAATTCTAACTTTTTTCTCATAATTCTGACTTTTTGCTGAGTATTCTGACTTTAATCTCAGAATTCTGACAATAAAAAAGTCAGAATTCTGACTTTTTTCCCATGTTAAACTGAAATAAAATTTAAAAATCAGTTAACTTTTTTTTTTTTTTTCAGTGGCCCTAATCCTCTTCTGTACAAATCTATGTGTTAAGACAAACGTTTTCTGTTGTATAGGTTTTGTTAGGCAACATAAATTAACACATTTTGGTCTCTTTATTGTCTTAATTGTATATTGATTTAGTAATTGCAGCACAATGCCAAGAAAGGCGGGTTAATCATAATGAAAAATCTTAAAAGCTGTTCACATTTTATTTTTAAGTGGTTTGTGCAGCAGGTATTAAAATAGCTAATATTTTGTAGGCTACCATAAGTCATATCCACGTGACAAGACTTCCAGTCATGTTGCCCTAATAGCCCATTATTTAAACTAATGTGGCATATTTGTTAAAGCTATTATTATTATCATTATTATCATTATTATTGTCATGATGGTTATTATTAATATATTGTAGCCAGTCACAGCAGGGAAGCTCTATACCATCAACATATAACAGGACAGGAGATGAGGAAGAGTTCAGGGAAGACACAGAGACAGAAAAAGACCAGGATGAGGGAGAGCAGATGGGTGAGGGAAAACAGGGAGATGAGCCAGATGAAAGAAGTATGCTTTAGTCTGTTCTGTTGGTGATGTGACTTTTTTCCATTGAAAACTCACGTTTAGAGAATATTACAAATAAAAGTCAAATTTCATTCAACATGCGTTTATTTTTTTTTTATAATTAAGTGTTACACGTGCGCTAAAAAGTGCCCTCCCCCCCCTCCTGAGCACCTGCCCCCCAAAATGTCTGTGCACGCCTCTGCTCAGTGTTCTTTGCCCTCCAAACACGACGAGATCAGTTGAGGCCAAAAAGTTCTATTTTGGTCTCATCTGACCACATCACCTTCTTCTAGGCCTCTTCTGAGTCGTCCAGGTGGTGAATGGTGAACTTCATGCGGGCCTGTACATGTTTCTTCTTGAGCAGGGGGACCTTGCATGCGCTGCAGGATTTCAATCTATGACGGCGTAGTGTGTTATCAACCGTTTCTTTTGTAACTGATGTCCCAGCTGCCTTCAGTTGGTTCATCAGTTCCCCCCTTTGTGGTTTTGGGATGATTCCTCACCGTTGGCATGATCAGGGACACCCCACAAGGCGAGATCTTGTGTGGAGGCCCAGACCGAGGGAGGTTGGCGGTGGTGTGGTGCTTCTTCCATTTCCTGATAACTGCACCGACAGTTGATCTTTTCTCTCCAAGTTGCTTTCCGATTCTCTTGTAGCCTATCCCAGCCTTGTGAGGATCAACAATCTTGTTCCTGATGTCCGTAGAAAGCTCTTTGGTCTTGCCCATGGTGGTGATATTGGATGCTGGTTGTTTGGGTGTTGACAGGTGTCTTTTATACAGGTAACGAGGTGAGGCAGGTGCATTTGATGTAGATAATTGGTTGGGATTGGGGCTGTGTCTTAAAGAAAGACTAACTGGCATGTAGGAGCCAGAATACTTGCTGTTTGGTAGGGGGTCATATACTTCTTTTTCCTCATCAGATGGTTATCAATTTTTATAAATTCATATGATGTGAATTTCTGGAATTTTCTTTGGGATTCTGTCTCTCACTGTTAGAATGTATATTTGATTAAAATTGTAATTTGTTGCATTCTTTGTAAGTGGGCAAACCTGCAAAATCAGCAAGGGGTCAAATACTTATTTGCCTCACTGTACCGAAATGTCGTGCCCATATTTTAAGTAGTTAAACCGGATCTTCTCAACATTCTTTTTCCTGTTTGCTACAATTGCAACAGGGATCTTGACCTGGCCGGACCGAAGTGGAGCAAAAAAATAGCTCAGCTCCGTATTTTAACGGTGACGGACGGAGAAGACGAATGTGGATGGTGACTTTCAAAGGAGTAGCGGTGGATGTGGAACATTTCTCATTGATTAACATGACAGATAAGTACTCTGCACGACGTACATGAGCGGGACGGAGCGGAGTGCTGGCGGAGGATGTGGAATCTGGGGGTAAGTTTGAAATGCTATTTTACTCTGCTGCTTTTATTTTCTAGTCATTTATCAAGCATTTCATCATATTAATCATCTAGAGCAGGAGCAACAACATCTAAAAGATTAGATTAGAAATGAAGATTAGAAATGAAAAGAATCAATAAAAAGAATCAATAAAAAATTTTTATGTAAGAAGTTTAGGTGAACGCTGACCCCTTCGGTTCATACTACTGGTGGCCCTTCCTATGACTCATTAACCATAAAGGAGCCCTCAGCCTGACCCCTGGTCTACAACGTTCACAGACATCCTGAGACGTAGCGAGACGGGGACACACCTCTCTCCGTCTTGATCCTGTCCAAGACCTCGTTTTTGTCTGCGAGGTCGGCCTTCAGCGCCGTCTCCAGCTGAACGATCTGCAGCTTCAGCTGCTGCTCCTGAAGCTGCCACTTCTGCTGCTGGGAAACATCAAAGGCGCTGCGGACAGAGACGGTGAGACACAGCTGAGGTCAGCCGCGACAGAGACGCTGAAATAAAGCCCTGACACAATCTGGACCAGTTCAAAGATCCACAGCTTCACTTTACAGATTTGAAACCACCCCACCTCCTCACCTGTCCTCCTCCTCACCTGTTCCCCTGCTCACCATCTGCCTCCACACCTGTCCCCTCCACTCCAGTGTTCCTCCTCACTTTTCCCCCTCATCCTCACCTGTCCCCATCCACACCTGTGCCCCTCCTCACCTTTCCAGTAGGTCCTTGTTGCTCTCCTTCAGCAGCTCCCTCTCCTGCTCCAGGTCACTGATCCGCTCCTGTAACTGTTCGACAGCCCGTGTCAGTAAACCAGAGGACTGAGCACGGTCGCGCAGTGCCTGTAACCATGATAACAGCTCAGGGGGTGTAAAGCCTCTCACGTGCTCCACCATGATCTTGTTGATGTTGACCATCTGCAGTTTACTGTCCATCTCCAGATTCTTCATCCTCTCGTCTTTTAGCTGAGCCTTCAGATCGTCCACCTTCGCCAGCGCTGCATCGTTGCTCGCCTTCAGCGTCTGCTGAGCCTGAAAAACAAAGGTGAGCCTGTTTTTTCCTGCTGTGATGCTAAATGTTAGCTTTGACTTGCGCTACGACCAAACATTTCTAGCAGAGTGAGAGATTTCAGCTACCAGGTTTGACCAAAGGAAATCTTTAAACTCTGTTTGAATCGTTGAAACAGAAACCTTATGCCAACAGAACCTATTCCTGCTTCGGTCTGACTGTTAACTGTCGACCTCTGATTTGTAAATATTAAAAGAAACTGGATAAACAGATGCTTAAAATATTTTAACCCCGTGCTTAAATCACTGCCCTAAATTTCTGTTTGTTAAAGAACTCAGATGGCCGCTCACTAAGCCTGGTTCTGTTGGAAGTTTCCTCCTGCTAAAAGGGAGTTTTCCTCTCCACTGTCACTACAAGCACGCTTAGTGGGAGGGATTGCCTTCAAGCCAATCAGTCGATGCAATCAACTGCTTTTCCTTAAATAGAAAACTTTTAATCAATTTAACTGTATGATTTAGTGAACTGTAAAGTGCCTTGAGATGACATGTGTTGTGAATTGATGCTATAAACTGAATTAAAATTGAATTGAGGTTCAACTATCACTTTATCAGCTCATTTCTGTCCTGTTATGATTTCATTTGTTCTAAATATACATTTAGTTATTTTTATTTCTGAATGTATTATTTGAATGTGCGTATTAGTTCCTTTTTTTATAATATTCTCTTGTATTCCTGTAAAACACTTTTGATTAGCATGTGTATGAAAAGCGCTTAAAACTAACAACTATATCTTTCTCCTCAAAACAATATTTTTTTTTAATAATCCATCCACAGAATGTCTAGAAAGTTGCATAATAAAGAATTTATTTTACTAAAAAAAAGTTTAAAGTATACGAATAATTACTTTATAAATATTGACTACTGGTTAGGGGGAGGGAGTGTTGGCCTAATGGTTAGAGCAGTGCGCTTGTGCTCTGAAAAGGTGGCAAGTACCCGGTTTGATCCCCACAGCCTGCACTCTGGGTCCCTGAGCAAATCCCTTAACCCCACACTGCTCCCTGGACGCCGCACAATGGCAGCCCACTGCTCGCCAAGGGGATGGGTTAAATGCAAAGGTAAATTTCTCCAATGGGAGATCAATAAAGCACAATTATTATTATTTCTGCGTTTGAAGTCATTTCCAATCCTAGTAGCTACATGGTAGAGCTGAGAAAAGATTTCTTCTCTAGGTTACATTTCTAAGACTAAATAAAAGAAACCAAACAAAAAACAATTAAAACGGAGGAGAATATTGGTCAAGATTTAGAGAGCTGGTGCCAACTTAAGGAAGCAAAAGGGCTCAGAATGCACAGGGAGATTGCTGGTTTCCTTCTGAACAGGTAAGGTAAATATTTACTAAAGTTAGCATCAGTGGACCTGAGGAGCAGCGCAGAATGAGTGTGAGTACCTCCTTTACTGACAGGGAGGCAGCTATCACCTTTAAAGGAATAGTACACCCAAAACATGATTAGCCTTCATTCTCTACTCACCCCCATGCTGAACAACACTCTGGAGTACTTTTTTGATATCTCAAATGCATCTGGAGATCTGGGAGGCTTCTTGCTGTCTGCTGACATTCAAATAATGGAGGTCTATGGCGCCCGAGACAGAAAGGTCCATAAAAGTCCACAAAAAACGTGTCAATATTCCTCCATACTGCTCGTCCAATGTATTCCAAGTGTCCTGAGTGGGTAGAGTCCAGAATTTACTCGAAACTAAGTCATTTAGAATGTTTTTAGAGCATAAACAGTAGTGTATAGGATTTCCTGAAAGCGCGTTCACGAGTCTACGGAAACCGCGGCAGACCAAACCAGATGAAAGTGCGCATTCAGCGTCTGCTCTACAGATAATGCAAGCGTAGAAGAAGAAATGTGCTGTTTACCTGTGCAAAGAAAGAAACAACGAAAGAAAAATGTCTGAGGACTTCAGTGTTGAGGAAGAGCATGAGTTCTTTGCCGAGCTGAATGCGCACTTTCATCTGGTTTGGTCTGCCGCGGTTTCCGTAGACTCGTGAACGCGCTTTCAGGAAATCCTATACACTACTGTTTATGCTCTAAAAACATTCTAAATGACTTCGTTTCGAGTAAATTCTGGATGCTACCCACTCAGGACACTTGGAATACATTGGACGAGCAGTATGGAGGAATATTGACACGTTTTTTGTGGACTTTTATAGACCTTTCTGCCTCGGGCGCCATAGACCTCCATTATTTGAATGTCAGCAGACAGCAAGAAGCCTCCCAGATCTCCAGATGCATTTGAGATATCAAAAAAGTACTCCAGAGTGTTGTTCAGCATGAGGGTGAGTAGAAAATGAAGGCTAATCATGTTTTGGGTGTACTATTCCTTTAAGACCATCTGATGAGACTTCTCACCTCCTGGAGCAGCCGATACCGGCCCTCCAGCTCCGTCACGGAGTTGAATCTGTCGGCCAGCTGCTTCTGCAGCCTGATCATCGACGTGTTGCTATTGACCTGTGACCTGGGAAGAAAACAGGCTGTGTTTAAGTCTGCCTGCTCAGGCTGCGGTAACACAACACATGAAGAAACAAACCTAAGAGTGGAAGTTTGCTGCTGTCGGGCCTGCAGGAGCTTCTCCTCGAACTCCTCCTCCTTCCTCCTCATCTCCTCCCTCAGCCGCTCTGCCGCAGCTTCCAGCTCCTCCATGTGACTCTGCTGAGACTCTACCACGTTCTCTCTGAAGAAACATCAAATGTCTGTTTATTTCGGAACCAAAGGCACGTTTCTGACCGAGCTTCTAGTTGACATTTTAGAGAATCCCTTAAAGTCCCAACATTGTTTAGTCCTTTCCTACAATGGATCTGAAACTGCTCTCAGAACCTATTCATTCTACTACGCATTCATTCTACTCATTCGCCACGGGTCAGAGTAACAAGCTGGTTAGGTCTATATGACTGAGCTACTAAAGAACAAAATGATCCAGTTTTGGATCAGAAACAAAAAAAAAATCCCGTTCAATCAGCAGGGATCCAAACAGACTTCATTACAGGTTCAGTGGTAGTATTGCTGCAAAGCAGGAGAAACCCACAGGTTACGGATCTCGGCCCTCGCCTCCTCAAGCAGGCTGTGTCCATATCGAGGCAGCTTGCCGGTTGGAGGCCTCCCATGGCCTTCAAAACTCCGCATACCTGAAAAAGACAGATACGGAATGACTTTATATGTTGCTGACTGAACAGAATCACATGACCAAACTAAACAGAACCAAATGATCCAAACTAATCAGAACTAAAAGGTCCAAACTGAACAGATTCAAATGATCCAAACTAAACAGAACCAAATGATCCAAACTGAAAAGATTCAAATGATCCAAACTAAACAGAACCAAATGATCCAAACTAATCAGAACTAAAAGGTCCAAACTGAACAGATTCAAATGATCCAAACTAAACAGATTCAAATGATCCAAACTAAACAGAACCAAATGATCCAAACTGAAAAGATTCAAATGATCCAAACTAAACAGAACCAAATGATCCAAACTGAAAAGATTCAAATGATCCAAACTAAACAGAACCAAATGATCCAAACTGAGAATATTCAAATGATCCAAACTAAACAGAACCAAATGATCCAAACTGAGAAGATTCAAATGATCCAAACTGAGAAGATTCAAATGATCCAAACTGAACAGATTCAAATGATCCAAACCAAACAGAACCAAATGATCCAAACTAAACAGAACCAAATGATCCAGACTGAAAAGATTCAAATGATCCAAACCAAACAGAACCAAATGATCCAAACTGAACAGATTCAAATGATCCAAACTAAACAGAACCAAATGATCCAAACTGAACAGATTCAAATGATCCAAACTAAACAGAACCAAATGATCCAGACTGAACAGATTCAAATGATCCAAACCAAACAGAACCAAATGATCCAAACTGAACAGATTCAAATGATCCAAACTAAACAGAACCAAATGATCCAAACCAAACAGAACCAAATGATCCAAACTGAACAGATTCAAATGATCCAAACTAAACAGAACCAAATGATCCAGACTGAACAGATTCAAATGATCCAAACCAAACAGAACCAAATGATCCAAACTGAACAGATTCAAATGATCCAAACTAAACAGAACCAAATGATCCAAACCAAACAGAACCAAATGATCCAAACTGAGAATATTCAAATGATCCAAACTAAACAGAACCAAATGATCCAAACTAAATAGAATGAAATGATTGAAACCAAACAGAACCAAATGATCCAAACCAAACAGAACCAAATGATCCAAACTGAACAGATTCAAATGATCCAAACTAAACAGAACCAAATGATCCAAACCAAACAGAACCAAATGATCCAAACTGAGAATATTCAAATGATCCAAACTAAACAGAACCAAATGATCCAAACTAAATAGAATGAAATAATTGAAACCAAACAGAACCAAATGATCCAAACCAAACAGAACCAAATGATCCAGACTGAAAAGATTCAAATGATCCAAACCAAACAGAACCAAATGATCCAAACTGAACAGATTCAAATGATCCAAACTAAACAGAACCAAATGATCCAAACCAAACAGAACCAAATGATCCAAACTGAACAGATTCAAATGATCCAAACTAAACAGAACCAAATGATCCAGACTGAACAGATTCAAATGATCCAAACCAAACAGAACCAAATGATCCAAACTGAACAGATTCAAATGATCCAAACTAAACAGAACCAAATGATCCAAACCAAACAGAACCAAATGATCCAAACTGAACAGATTCAAATGATCCAAACTAAACAGAACCAAATGATCCAGACTGAACAGATTCAAATGATCCAAACTGAACAGAACCAAATGATCCAAACTGAACAGATTCAAATGATCCAAACTAAACAGAACCAAATGATCCAAACCAAACAGAACCAAATGATCCAAACTGAGAATATTCAAATGATCCAAACTAAACAGAACCAAAGATCCAAACTAAATAGAATGAAATGATTGAAACCAAACAGAACCAAATGATCCAAACCAAACAGAACCAAATGATCCAAACTGAACAGATTCAAATGATCCAAACTAAACAGAACCAAATGATCCAAACCAAACAGAACCAAATGATCCAAACTGAGAATATTCAAATGATCCAAACTGAGAATATTCAAATGATCCAAACTGAACAGATTCAAATGATCCAAACTGAGAATATTCAAATGATCCAAACTGAGAATATTCAAATGATCCAAACTGAACAGATTCAAATGATCCAAACTAAACAGAACCAAATGATCCAAACTGAACAGATTCAAATGATCCAAACTGAACAGAACCAAATGATCCAAACAAAACAGAACCAAATGATCCAAACTGAACAGATTCAAATGATCCAAACTGAACAGATTCAAATGATCCAAACTAAACTGAACCAAATGATCCAAACCAAACAGAACCTAATGATCCAAACCAAACAGAACCAAATGATCCAAACCAAACAGAACCAAATGATCCAAACTGAGAATATTCAAATGATCCAAACTAAACAGAACCAAATGATCCAAATTGAGAAGATTCAAATGATCCAAACTGAACAGATTCAAATGATCCAAACTGAACAGATTCAAATGATCCAAACTGAACAGATTCAAATGATCCAAACTAAACAGAACCAAATGATCAAAACTGAACAGATTCACATGATCCAAACCAAACAGAACCAAATCATCCAAACTGAAAAGATTTAAATGATCCAAACTAAACAGAACCAAATGATCCAAACCAAACAGAACCAAATGATCCAAACTGAACAGATTCAAATGATCCAAACTAAACAGAAACAAATAATCCAAACCAAACAGAACCAAATGATCCAAACTGAACAGATTCAAATGATCCAAACCAAACAGAACCAAACGATCCAAACTGAAAAGATTCAAATGATCCAAACTAAACAGAATAAAATGATCCAAACTAAATGGAATGAAATGATTGAAACCAAACAGAACCAAATGATCCAAACTGGCTAAAATCCAGGCTCCAGGAGTTTCAATCAAAATAAATCGGGTCCATTATGACTCCTTTTAATCTTCATATTCTTCTTTCTGTGTGCAGGCAGCCTGGACTCACTTCTGTGACGAGCAGGTGATAGAGATGAGGAATCATCTCGGAGTTTCTTCATGCCAGAGTTCACCCGGGACGGCACGTGCTCATACTGCGTCTGCCGTCTGCCCTGTGAGTTGAGGAGCTGGTGTTTGGCCACCAGGAGGCGCTGTTTCAGCCCCTCTTTTTCCGCCTGCAGCCCTCTGACCTTCTCCTGGAGCTCCTCCACCATCTCCTCCATTTCCACATCTCGGAACCTGGATGGAGGCTGTGCTGGTCCTGCAGCCAGCTGCTCCATCCGCCCGCGGTCTTTCACCAGCCTCATCAGCTTTGTTCCCAACCTGTTAAGAGACATAGTTAGTGACAAAAAAAAAAAACTAACTTGGAAATTTTGTTTCATTCATTTTATCATTCATTTTCATTTTACATTCATTCATTTTACTTTTTTTTATATTTCCTCTTTATGTGGAACAGATAAGTTTGAACGCAGCCATAATTTAATGATATCTGTGTGGAGCGATTGTCTCACTTCTTAATCTTTTCATCCTGTTTGTGAATGTGCAGCTTCAGCTGCAGTGTCTCCTCATGGACTCGCAGGAAGCGGTCCTCCAGCTCCTCCCTGGACAGCTTCCCCACGTTCAGCCGCTCCCGAGCGTGTTGATGCACAGACGGATCTGTCAGAGGAAACGGGAACGACCTTTTCACTCATCTCAGGTTTCAGTGAAAGGAAACAGAACGATTATCACTGCAGAAATGTTTAAGATCACTGGAAATTCTGACACAGTTTTGGGAAAGTTTGATTTAAGGGAAGATCCAGCTGCTGGTTGCAGTGGAAACAGGAAGAGCAGAGCATCCTCACCTTGAGGAGCATCGGTGAGGCGGGACAGATTGACAGCGATGTCTCTGACAGGGAGATCTGCAGATGTCTCATCGTGAACGAACGACATGTTTCAGTCTGAAAAATCAACACAGTTTTCATTAAACCCTCAGAGTTCAGGCACAGACGAACTTCAGCACCGATCCAATTCTCTAAAATCTGTTCTTTTCTCCAAACCTTTGCTATAGCTCTGTCTAAGCGTCAGATTTACAAAGAAGAAAGCATAAACAGCTGGGAGGAGGAGCCCAAAAAGTTAAAACTATTGTTAGGATTGTTATCTGTTACTTTTTTCACTGTTGTTTCAAATTGGTGTTCAGAAGTAGCGTTTTATGCAGTTTCTATCTGAGTTTTAGACAGTTTTTATCATCACGTTGAGGTCTCAAAGGTTTTGAGTTCAGGTACCACATACTCCCACGGACTTCCACTCTGTCTGCCTCAGCCAGACCATTAAGCCCAGACTGCTCCCCGGGTGCTCACACAGTGGCAGCCCACTGTTCCCCTAGGGCAGATGTCATGGATTAGCGGACCACGGTCCGGATCTGGACCCACCTGCTGGATAATCCGGACCCAACCTGATTGAAAACATTTATAAATTATTGCATGTTGTCTGATGAAAGTGTCTAATTTCACTTGAGCCGCTTCTCCTGTTTGTACAGTAAAGCCCTCCAGAGCGTCCGGCACCAGGCTACATGTGATACAAATTAGCCAATGAGCTGCTGTCAATCAGAGCTGCTGTTACTTTTGACACAGCAGGCAAACTTGTGGCAACCCGGGTGATGGGAAAGAAGGAGAAGACGAAGAGAAAAAGAGAGCAGAGAAAGTGTGGACTGCTGGAAGAACTGTGGTAAACTGGTGAAAAAAAAGTGAAATGGCGTGCTCAAAGATGACCCTGCACATTTAGAGGATGTTTGGCTCAACCTGCTGCTGTGAAGCAGGATTCTCCACCATGAACATTAAAAATAAATATGGATCCAAGCTCAAAATGAGCTCCTTGATATGTGCTTTAGAATGGTTTAGTCTCCATTCAAACCCAGGTTTAAAGCCTTGCAGGGCAGCATAAAGCCCACTGCGAACATTAAGAAAGGAAAAACAAAGAAAAAAATAGCAAACTTGTTAAAAATTGTTCAGGTGTTTTATAATATGTGTGAATAAGGAACTTGTCTTTATACCAAATTGAAGGATTTTTGTTCTCTACCTTAAAAAAAGAACACTTTAAATTTTAAAATGGAAAAAAATTTGCTATTACTGTACTTTTTCTTTTTTATTTAAAAAAGTCCTTGTATAACAGGGATGCATAAACACTTCATTTTATTTCAGAGTTAAATTCCGTTTAAAGTATCAGATTATAATAAAAAATGTCTTCGGACCTTTGCTGGTGTTCATTTTCTTTATTCGGACCCCAATAATTTTTAAATGGTCACCCCTCCCCTGTTTCTATATCTTATAAAAAAGTTTAATAATATGTAGAAAACATGTTTTTGTTTATTCAGTCAGTAATTAATACATCTGGAATAATAAATGTTGAAATATAATATACAGCATAATGTGCAAAGAATATTTAGCCCTTCGTCTTTCCTTCTTCCTGGATGGGAGACGAAAAGTCTTCAAACTTGGAAAAAAAGTCTGGTGGACTGATTTTAACTTTTTTTGAATTAGCCCTTCGTCTTATGGAAACATCATCTTTATGCACAAGAAAACTGAATCTTATTATTTAATCCTTGGATGATGAGGACAATCAACTTTAGATTTGCTTACCGGTATTTAAACTAAATCAAATCTTTTAATTGCTTGTTTTATTGCTGTGCATGTTTTTTTTGTATTTTATAAAAAAGATCTCTTCTAAATAAGATCTTGGAACTTAATGAAAAAACCTGCAAAAATAAAGGCTGAAATAAAAAAATAGATTAATGCAATAATTCATTGCATCCCTATTAAAGAAAGGTTTTCCTAACATGAACATGAAGAATAAACTGCTGACCAGGTCTGCCTCCAGGGAGTTTTTATTTTAAAAAAGCATGGCTATATTCTGCAAAGAAGGGAATACACTTATTGTATAAACATAGCTTGGAGAGGCGGTTTATTTTTCTACAAATGGTGCCTAAATAAAATCATCTGATTAATAACAAGTGGAGTAATCAATGAATTGATGCCAAAGTTTGAATAGAAGAATCTTTAGGAAAAAAGATGAAGAAATACAGTATTTTCCGAGGTTATACTTTTTTGAATCTGTAAACACATTAATAAGATTCACTACTTTTCCAGAGTTTAAGTGGATCTTGCTGATTATCCATCCGGTTTAAATGTTTAAATCTTAGACAAAAGTTCACCATTTCTTCAGTTTATAAACTTCCTCTATAACTGAAGGAGGATTTACCTTTTTATTGTGATCATGAAGCTGCTGCTGCAGGTTTATTCTGCTTTATCTCATCACACTGAAGCTAACAGCTGTCGCAGCTAACGTTTCTAAAGCAGCTAACGTTCACATTAATCAGATATTATAAATCATATATGACGTTTTCAAAACATATAAATGTATATTTTACTATAATCATCAATATTTAGCATATTGTGTACTTTTACAAAAGTCTCTTACCTTTGAAAAATACTTTATTCCGCTAAGAATCACGGTTGCTAATGGAAACAACCGTTCATGTCGTTAAGGTACAAGAACGCATGCGCAGAACGAAAAGCCTTGTGGGAAATGTGGTCTTTCTTAAATTTACCAGCTCGTAGCCTTCGTCTCCTGGTTTTATAGTTTTATTTGATAAGACTGATGAATAGAGATTGTTTAATAGAGATATTAAATTATCTTAAGCTCTTAAATTAAAGAGGAATCTGAATAAATAAGTAGGAAAACTTTGCCTGACTGTGCAAAGGGCTTGTTTTCAGTAGTGTCAAAAGTACACACATTTGTTACTTAAGTAGAAGTATAGATACTGCAGTTTAAAAACACTCTGGTAAAAGTTGAAGTATCAACTTGACCTTTTTACTCAAGTAAAATTGAAAAAGTATCTACTCCAAAAACTGCTTAAAGTATAAAAGTATAAAGTACCCTTTAAAAGAACCAGCCAGATGCCACTATATGAATTGAAAGCTCAATTTTTCATCTATTTTGAAAAAGTTTTTTCGAGAAAGGGCCAAGGATGAGGGAGGTCTTGTTGGTCTCCATCTCCCGATACGCTCTCGCCTGTGTCCGACCTTTCAGACCTTTCAACATCTTTTTCTGAATCCTTCATTGTAGCATGGCATAGACAATTCACGTTAGCAGATTGAAGAACACCTGCTTGCTTCTGATGATTTCCTTTAGCTAACTAATGAGTGTTTGCGTTATATGACTCATCCCATTACACTAGTTTTCACTAGATGTGGATGGAGCCAATGATCTGCATTGGATGGAGCACATGACGCGAAATTAACATTTATAAACATTAAACCGAAGCCAAAAGTAACAAGTAACGTTTGTTTTAAAAATGTAAGGAATAGAAAGTACAGATACTTGTGTGAAAATGTAATGAGTAGAAGTCAGAAGTAGGAAGAAAAATAAGTAATGTAGTAAAGTATAGATACCTAAAAAGTGTACTTAATACATTAATACATTAATACATTAGTACATTAATAAAGTATTTGTCCTTCGTTACTTGACACCTCTGCTTGTTTTCCTGTTTATGAATAATCCCAGATCTGCTTCATCTCCTGTGATTTCTATCTTGTTGTAGCCATGACACCCTGACAGTTTGTACATGCACATGTGAGCAGCGTGCTGCAGAGGTGACTCGCTGCCGCATCACATAGTCTGACAGGCTGGCTGTCAAATTAATCTCTCATGAAGCTCCAATGGATCTAATTTTGCATCCTGAGATGAAGAGTGCAGTTGGAGAGGACCGGTTCTCTCTGCATGTCAGCCTCCACTGGGCCGTGACACAGTGTGCTGCAACCTTTGACCCCTCCTTTCCTCTGTGTGCCGAGGGCCGCCTGGTAACGCAGTGAAATCTGTCAGGAAGTTGGGGAGCCGTTCACATTCATGATGCCCACCAAGCTGGTGTTCAACAGGCCATGCCAGCGTCCGTGCAGCAGCTGTCAAGTGCATGATCAGACTAGCGTGCAGAACCTTTGTACAGTCATCTCTACCGCATATTCTAATATAGGCAGATTTCCCCAAAGCATCCAGCGTCAGGCAGTTATTCAGATTCACAGAGAGGAGAGAGGCCAGTCTGAGCAGGCGGGGTGGAAGCCTGTAACAGGAAAAGTGCAAAATGTATGCGTCTGTGAGGTATTCAGGGTCTCTAAGCACAAAAAACAAACAAAAACTGAACATTGCCAGAATTATACAAGACACTCAAACAACTCCCATTTCACCACAAAAAAAAATATAAATCTATGTCAGTCATTGGTTTCTTATAACAACTGCATTTTTTTTCTTGAATTGAGCAGGTAGGTGAGAATAAGACAATTTACATTTAAAAGAAGTAAAAAAATAAATGTATTATTCTAAGTGCTTATATCTAATTATCTTATTGTAAGGGTAGAAATGTTCATTCCATTGGCAGATTATCTTGTGCATGACAAGTAAGAACTGTATATACTGCATGGATAATTTATGTAGTTAACATTATAGTACTTCTTGAGCTCCTTGACTTATTTACTGTCACAGGAATGATTTAAAGAGAGCCGGCCCTTGCAGGCTGAAATTAGGACCGGCCCATCCCAGATTACCAGCCCGAGCTTGCTCGGTTATTATTATGTTTGTTTAACTGGCCTGATTTAACTTTCTATTAACTTTCCTTTGTATCTCTGCGTCTTTCTTTATCTCTGCTTCTGTCTCTTAAACCTCAGTCGGCCTCAGTTGAAGGCTGCTCACACTGAGCCTGGTTCTGTTGGAGGTTTCTTCCTGTTTAAACTGGAGTTTTTCCTCTCCACTGTCGCTACAAGCATGCTTAGTATGAGGGATTGCATTGCACTCAATCAGTCGTTGCAATCAACTGGTTTTCATTTGATAGAAAACTTTCAATCAATTTGACTGTATGATCTGGTTGAATTGTAAAGTGTCTTGAGATGACATGTTGTGAATTGGTGCTATAGAAATAAACTGAACCAAATTGAATTAGTATATTTCCAAAGAAAACTAAACTTTTCAATAAACTGCTGATAATAACAAAGAACTGAAGAATGAAGCTCTCAAATGCTGGAGTAGTGGAGGGCAGGGCTTTATGTTGGTTAGTACCAAACGTCATGTCACTGTCCACATGTAGACGCACTCCATGTCAGCATTCCTTCACATGGGAAGGGGGGACTTCACCCTGCTGTAGAGCCTTGTCCCCACCTGCTCCCCTACTTTTATTTCACTGGAATACTCTGAATTACTAATCCCTTGTTTGTTCAGAAGCCTCATACAGCCCCTCAAATCATACATTAATGTACTAGAAATATATGTATCACGGTTTTTGTTTATCTCTGAGTTTTCATTGGTCTTATTTCCATTTTTGTGTTCTAGTAATTTTTGATTGTATTTGAGTTCTTGGAAATTTCTTGTTTGCCCTCTTATGTCAGTCTTATCTTTCCATTCCTGCCTCCTCTGTTCACACCTGCTCCCAATCTGCTAATTAGCCTGGTCTTTGTTTCTCTCTCCAATATATTCTCCTCCTGTTCAGTCACTCTTTGCTGGTTTGCCATTGTTTCTTTGCCTTGCTGTGAGTATTCCTGGTTTTCAGTAGTTTGAGATTTTTGTGGATTTACGTTTTTGGATTTTTGCTCCTGTTGCCCTTTTTTGTTATTAAATTTTCAAGAAACCACTTCAGCTTTTGTGTCTGCATTTCGGTCCTGTCAAACCTCCACCCCACTTGACAATATGTGTATAATAAATATGTTTATATTATATATGATATAAACTTAGCTGCTTTGAGGATTTCTAAATAGAAGGGACAAAACATGAATGATCAGGAGAGAGAAAAGACTGAGATTAGAGGAAAGGAGAGACCTGAAGGGTCACGTGTGACAGAGGCCACTGAAAGTTTAACAGTTAAAGAAGAGGAAGATGAGCTTTCAATCAGAGAGAGAGAAATATCCTGATGAAGTTTCTCAGTCATACAGGTCATAGTCATTCCAAAAAAAGAAAATTAAACCTCGAACTCAACGCTGTTCCTGACATTTTGAATTGAAAAAGCTTCCTGGATGGGAAGCGAAACATCTTCAAACTTGGAAACAACATCCAGCGGATTGTTTTTAATTTTCTTTTAATGGTCAGAGAGAGAAAGAAGAAATATGATGGAGAAAAAGAAGATCCACCTGGTAGGAGACATTTTTCTGAGCAGCACAGCAATTGTTGCCTTTAGAGGTCCTAAAAATGATGGCTGACATCCGTCCAGCAAAAATGTAGGTTCTTTTTCTGAATGCTGTATTAATTAAACGCCTTTATTTATTTTGTGGACATTTTTTTTCTCAGTTATCCTTTACCTAAAGGTTGTTTTTGTTTGTTGGAATAGCAAATAAGAACATTTGGGTTTTATAAAGTGTTTTTTTTGGGGAGGTTTTTCAATACAGTATTTTTTAAATATCATGGCTTTTTTTTTTTTATAAAAAATATATATGTATGTATATATATATATATATATATATATATATATATATATATATATATATATATAGTTGATTCCAAATATTTTTTGGCCATATTATTTTCTCATTTCTCTAAATTGCCGAGGCCCCTCTATCCCCCCTCTAATAAAACCTCTGAACTAGCAAACTGCTTTTTATTAGGGGCCCAATTTCCCTTAAAAACGTTGCTCTACATGCACTACTGGACAGATATATTTTAACATAGCAGTGGACTAACAAACATCAACAGACATAATCCCAGCATTCTCTTTGTTGGATGAGTTGGTATCATCTGAAGCCTATGTATGTTTTTCCTGACCCTGTTGTCTCCTTCAGGGACTTGTCTGTCCCCAACAGAAATCTATGTACTGTTTATAACTGGTGGTTTGCATTTCATTGCAGCTTCTAGAAAAGACAAAAGAAAATAACCGGAGAGAAGAACAGAAAACCTTGACATGGTTTTTCTTACAAGATCTGATGGTTCTTATCTGGGTGTTGGAACTGCTGTTTTGGTTTAACTTAAAGAAGCATTCTGAACAAAATATTTGTTAGACTTTAAATCCCATCAGATATAATGTTACAGTTCTACCTGCATCCTCTATGAAGTCCATCATCACATTTCCTAAAGATCTCTACAGTATCCAGATTCAACACTAGGTGGCAGCTGTTGACTGTAAGAGAAGCTGAAAACTCTTTAAAGAGGAAAATTGATCTTTTCTCCTAATGTTGGCATGCCCAGAAAGCAGCAGTTAGATTAATTAACTTAATCTGTGTATCTCAGATCACTAAAAAAAAAAAAACATAAAGAACTTCATGAATTACTGCTGATTGTTTCATAGAAGGTGAAGTCTAAAAAGCTGTCACTGTGTTTCACCTGAGCAATGAAACTGACCAATAAAAAAAAACTTTTACTAAAGTGTATTAATGTCCAGAAAAAGTGAAATAAAAGCAACTATCACAGGATATCAATATCTGACAGCACAGATTTGATGAGAATGCTCAAACAGCCAGAGGGGAGGATCCTACTGGACCAATGGTCAGTCTAGGAATCAGATAAGACTTTATCGATCTCACAACGGAGAA